TGGGCAAAGTCGGACCAGGCTTGTGTCTGGTACTTGCTCCAAGTCGTTGGATCCAATGTCGGGCGTTTTGAGCGGAACTCATGGGGGCGGGAGCAATGCAATGTGATCAGGAATAGATTCGGGAAGATATTTTAAACAGTGAGTGGAGTACTGGGAAGTACTCTGTAAGTGGAAGTGGAGTCGAGTCTATCAGAAGGTAAAAAACTAAGATCCCATCTATTGCTACCTATATAGGAAGGGGTTCCGAAATGCGATATGCTACAACCGGGTGAGGCTGTGAGATAAGGAATCGGTCCCGAGTAGCGGAAGGATCCGTATAAGTACCGTAACACATGGGAAATGAGATAGGAACATGTTAGTGACATGGGGAACGTAGCTAGTACTCACCAGCGAGGATGGAAGGACATGGACAGGACATAGGAGGATGTTCCAAAGGCTGAAGGAATATAATGCGTGTGGTACGCGATTGTTCCGCTGGGTTCCGCTTGGTTCCGCTTGGTTCTGTGTAGCGGATGGGTCGGGGAAGATGCGGATGGGTAGCAGAACGCACGGGAAAATGGTGGGAAAGCATGGGAAATATGCGGGATACAGGCCTACAGTGGGGTCGTTCCCCACAACGGCTAACAGCACGTGTGAAGCAGCACAAAAACGCATAGGACACACGTCTCTGCAGCTTAGAGAAAGACACCCACAGGCCACGATTCCTATAGCAAGTCCACTCCAAATGGACAACGCTGCTTCAGCCATCCAGGAGCCCGGTCGAGTGTTTGAAGATCATGAGGGGACCATGAGCGCAGTCGCAGTCTTGCCCAATGGATGCTGTATGGTAACTGCCTCGTACAAGACACTTCGTCTATGGGATTTGAAGGCTGGCGTTATGTTGAAGAAAATGGAGGGGCATCAAAGTGATGTGGGTGCGTTGGCAGTCTCAGGAGACAGACGATTGATAGCAAGCGGTGGTGACTTCGGAGAGGTCATTGCGTGGCACGGTGACACTGGCAATGTCTTACTCAAGTCAAACAGAGAGCATTCTTTGTGTGGTCTGTCAACGATGAATCCATCAAATCGCTAGACTTTTCTCCACATGATGCTGTGTTGGCACATGATGCTGTGTTGGCAACTGCTGGTGAATGGGGCGTGAAGCTGTGTAGCACAGACCCCACGTGGGAGGGAGGTTTTTATTGGACACGATCGGTCAACTGTGTTCGGTATTCACCATCTGGGGAACTTCTTGCAGTGTCAACTTTCTCGGAGTGGTTGTCGATTGTACAGAATATCGAAATATGGAAACCAGGCACGAAGGAATGTATCGCACAGTTCGAAAGTTTGAACTCGCCTACATCACTCATGTGGGCACCCAATGGCACATGGCTGCTCAGTTGTCACCATTATAGCTTACAGGAGTGGGACCCATCGACCTGGAAACAGGTTGGCGGTGGCTGGTATGATGCTGGCATCATCATTGCCGTGAACTCGACTGCCACCATTGTTGCCTCTGTGTCTAGTGGCAATGGTGATATCCTCCTCTGGCGGCTCTCAGATCAATGAATCATCGCCATATTCAAGCAGTCTGCCCCTGTGCGCTGCGTCACTTTCTCCATGGATGGCAAGTACATCCTCAGCGGAGGAGATGATAACAAGATCTCAGAGTGGGCAATACCCGAGGATACTTTGCCAGCTTCTGAGGCAAGTTTGCGTCCTTGATTTTGACACCACAATGTGAACTTGCTTCATGCAGATCCTTGCTATGCACCCGACAGCTCGCAGTGCATATATAGCTGGGGATTTGCCTACCGCTGAAACGTTGATAACACAAGGGATCTCCGCTGATGCTAACACCTACAACTCCTATGCTAGTCGCTCATTTGTCATGGCACGAATGCATGACTGGGACCGCGCATTACATGATGCGCTTATGGTGAGATACTTCGTCACCTCTCTTCAGATCTACTAACTGTCATGGTGACATAGTCTGTCAGCATTCGGCCCTCCTTGACAGGTTATGTCTCCAAGGGCATTGCCCTCTGCGGGAAAAAGCACTTTGAGGATGCAATGAAAGCATTTGACTTCGCATTCATGTTCGCGAACAGACGTTCAAAGACCATTCTTTTCTTGATCCAGGCATGTTATTTTGTCTCCCATGTGCCCTACTCCATGATAATTTTCAGACCGTTGCACTTTCCAATGTCGATCAACATGATGAAGCAATCCAGTGCATCCAAGAACTGGCTGCCGCTTGCCCAGATGCTGATACTCTTGATTGTTGTGTCGTGGAAGTGAGTATCATGCACGCAGTCATGCCCAGGTTCGTGTGTTAACACTGATTTTGAACTTCGCATATCAGGTGTATCTACATCTCCAGATGAATACCTTGGATGGTGTGGTGCATGATGACAAAGCTGCTGAGCACTTCACTGCTGCTATGCACACCATCGTTAGCTCATCTGGATCTGCTATCTGTTCACAATATGAGGACTTTGCTGTGGTGTGTTGTTGGGATTTTTTAACCGAAAGTCCTTTTCATGCTCAACGGTGTGTTTTTTTCAGCTCTTCAGATGGGACCTCAAGTCCTTGTGGAAAACTGCAAGCCAGAATTGGTGCGACTCACTCCTTCGGGTAGGAAGACTTAGAGAAGCCCACGAATCATACCGATATATGATGGATATGAGTGATGAAGTTACACGGGCCAGCTGCCTTGAGTGGTCCATTGGCAAGTCTCCTGTTTTGTCACCAGGCTACAATCCTCACTCGCATTTCACTCAGCTTTCAAGGATGAGTGTAGAGCGTTATATGCTGCCCATGGAATTGTTGACCTTGCTGCCAACGGAGTTGTTGACCTCACTGCGAGCGGAGATGCTGCCCTCGCTGCAAGTGATTACGATAGGGCTATGGAGCTATACTCAGCGGAGATCGACCTGGATTGTGCAACCGATATAATATTTGCAAACCGTAGTAAGGCAAGGTCGAAAAAAAAGCTATGGACTGATGCGCTTCATGATGCGGAAAAGGTATGATGACATCCATTGTTTTATTGCCAATGCCCATCGTCACTCGCTACGTAGGTCATTGAACTCAGCCCTTCATCTTGCCTTGGATACCAGGTGAAGCACGCAGCCCTTCATGGTGCGAAACACTATGATGAAGCGATAGACATCGTCCAAATGATGCTTTCCGAGTTGAACGAGGCTCACGATGCACAAGCACAAAGTAAGCCCTAAAGTAACATGTGTGTCAAGATGGTTGACTCTTTCCCCAGAGCTGCCCCAGCAGTCCTCCACTCCATCCGGATCAAAAAGCGTGCAAAACTATGATGAAACAATCGAGACTGTCCAAATCATGCTTTCTGAATTAGATGAGGCTCACGATGGAAAGGGACAAGGTAAGCTAATAACCCATGCGTCAACGTGTTTGACTCTTTCTCCAGAGCTACGCCACCAGTATATCTCTTTATCCGAAGCAGAACGTGCCATTCAAGAGGCAATTGAAGGTCAAGTTGACGATGCCCCGCTTCGTCTACTTAACACCTACACGGGGCGCTTGTGCGATCGAGAGACACAGAAAAATGCCTTTAAAACGGCCACCGAGTTCGAGGAGCTTTTGTCATCAACAATGATGCATGCAGACCTCCAAATGGAATGTATCCAAGGTGTAATAGTGAAGTACTTCAGTTATGTCATGCTGTCGCATAGGTGGGAAGGGAAGGAGCCCATGCTGCACGACATCCAGGACAAGGTCGTGGACGAGTTGGAACCAGTTGGCGGCATCGTGAAATTACAGTCTTTCTGCAAAACTGCTTGCGATGTGGGTTATCGCTGGGGGTGGGTTGATTCGTGCTGCATTGACCAGGACAACCATGTCAAGCTCCAAAAATCACTCAATTCCATGTTCGTCTGGTATCATCAATCAGCAATCACATTCGTCTACATGTCGGATGTTCTGCCTTCATCCAAGTCTGGTGCACTGGCAAAGAGCGCTTGGATCACGCGAGGATGGACTGTCCCTGAATTCCTGGCTCCTACAACTATTCACTTCTACCAAAAGGATTGGAGCCTATATCTCGATGACCACTCTCCCAACCACAAGGAATCTGACACAATCATGCAGGAGTTGGGGAATGCCACAGGCATAAATCCAGAGGCTCTCGTTGCCTTCCGTCTGGGGATGAGAGATGCCCGAGAGAAATTCCAATGGGTGTCAAAGCGTGTCACCACGGTGCAGGAGGATACTGCATATTCATTGTTCGGCGTCTTTGGCATCCAGCTACCTATAATGTATGGAGAGAAGAAGCAAAACGCTCTTGGATGGCTCTTGCAGGAGATCGTAGCTCAGTCGGGTGACATCACTGCCTTGAACTGGATCGGAAAATCATCCTGGTTCAACAGTTGTCTCCCAGCCGACATCATTTCCTATCAAGCTCCACCATATGCCCCACCATTTCTCTCTGAACATCATATACAAACATTGGTGTCCTCGCTGCGAGATCCTGAGGCTGTAAGCCTGGTTTCGAAATTATGACACCCTCGTTTCCCTGAGCACCCCCCGTTTCGCACACCGCCGGCTGCATCTTTCTTGCATAGTATTCCCTGTCACAATCACGTATCGGCCTGGTGAAGGTCAGGAGTGTTGTAATTCATCATCGTTGTTATCATTCATAGCAACTTTCCTTATTCTATCGTCACGTGCATTCGCATATATAATACCTACCATTGTCATTGTGTTATACCTCAGTTGTTGTTTCCAACCACTGAGGTATGTTTCCTAGTTTCTAGTTATCCCGCTGTCTCTTACTTTACATCCTCTAGCGTGTTTCGCGTCTAGGTACTAATAATATATAGTCGTTGTTTCCAACCACTGAGCGTGTTTCGCGTCTAGCTTCTAACAGGTTATGAGCTGCAATTTCTAAATGAAATCTTCTAGAGCTACATACCGACACGCGGGCTTGTTTCAGCAACTCACTGTAATCTTCTCTTATTAGAGACCTTTCTTCGACTTTCTTCAACATGGGAAAGCTCGACCATATCCCGGAATTGACGGGCATGGATACATATTTCGCATGGAAGCATGAGGTGATTTACGCCCTTGGTATCAAGGATCAGTGGTGTCATGTGACCGACACCATTGATCCCGATGACGTCCTGGGCAACACCTTGTTTCAACCGATGCTTGCTAATCCCTTGTCGCCCACCGCTGATGAGATGAAGAGCATTCGTGAATGGCTCATTAACGATCTTAAGGCAAAATCCATCATCACTCATTGTCTCTCCACCTCTGTCCAACAGCTCATCTCGACCAGTCACCGGGTGACTGCTTGGGACGCTTGGAAAACTCTGGAAGACCACTTCAGGCAGGTGGACATGGGCTCCCAACACATCGTTTGACAGAGCATATATTCACTCCAGATGAAAGATACCGCTGATGCCTCACACTATGTGGGCCAGCACACTGTGCTTCACAAATGTTTGCTTCGCATGGGGGTGATCTACACTGACGCTGAGGCAGTGTTCCAACTTCTGCACGGACTTCCTCGGACCGGGACATGGCCCCAGTTCAAGGCCCTCCTGACTCTGACTCTTCCTGCACACACTCCGGTTGTTACTGCCACTGCAACTGTCACCACCACCGCCTCTGCATCTACCGCTACCACTGCTGGTGCTACCACCACTATGAGCCCCTCATTCTTCCTCCCATCCGCATCCACTTTCGATGCCTATGTTGCCCGCATTTCTGCAGAAGCTGCTCGTATCCTTGATGAACATGCTCTCGCAGGCAGCGCGCCTGGTTCAGAATATGCGAACACAGCGACAACTTCCTCCACTACGAACGTCAACACCATCACTGGTCTTCGTAAACATCATCATAATCCGGAGGGGGTCTTCTGTACCACGGTTGGTTGTAATAAAGGGGATCACGACCATGTGCATTGCTATGCAAAGGGCGGTGGCATGGAGGGTCAAGCTCCTGGATGAAGGGTAAGAAGAAGGAAACGGCTGCTGTAGCAATTACCTCTCCTCCTGCTCCAGCTCCAGCTCCAGCTGCTCTCCCTCCTTCTACCGCCATCGCTGCCTTTGCAGGCACGGAAGCTGCAGCTGAATCCTATCTTGCAGATCTCTCCTGCACTTCCATCATCAAGATACCCAACCTCCTTCCCCCCACGGACACTGCAGTCCTTTCCTGCATCATTGCTGCAGGTTTCAACACCATCCTCAACTCGGGAACCATGACCACACTCGTCCAAGACCGCTCTTACTTCTGGTCTTACTCCACAGCTGACACTGTTACCGTTCGCACTGCGAATCATGGCAGCCTGAGTACCTCTGGTCGTGGTGCCTACACTGGACCTGTGGCATGCCCGTCTCAGGCATATCGGCAGCGAGGCTGTCCGTCGCCTGCCTTTGTTTGCCACAGGTGCAACTGTGTCCCCAGGGGCGGCATTGTCTAAGTGTGAATCCTGTATCATGGGCAAGCATCCTCATCGTCCTCACCCTCCATCCGACTCTCCTTGTGCAGCTCAATTCCTCGACCTCATTCACTCTGATCTCTGTGGACCCATCCCAATCTTCACACCTCACAACAAGCGCTATTTCGTCGTCTTTCTCGACGACCACACGAACATCCTCAATCTTCAACTCCTGGCTACTAAAGATCAGGCTCTTGATGCATGGCGTCTTGTTCATGCTTGTTGGGAAAACCAATCTGGTCGATGCATGAAGATCTTTCGGTCTGACAATGGGGGTGAGTTCTTGAGCGCCGCGTTCATGGCGGAACTCGAGGCTGCGGGCATTATACGACAGTTATCTGCACCGTATGCACATCAGCAGAATGGGAAGGTGGAGCGGGTGATACGTACCATTGAGGGTAGGATGTATGCCATGCTCGACCATGCTCGTTTACCTCGTTCTCTCTGGGGTGAGGCGGCTCTTTGCGCAGCCTATCTATTTAATCGCACTGAGTCTCATTCCCTCCTCCCAGGGAGGACGCCCTACGAGATGCTGCATGGTACGAAGCCTGACCTCTCTCACTTGCGGGTATTCAGTGCCCGATGCTTTGTTCGTATTCCTGCTGAAATGCAGGAGAAGCTGGGACCATGCTCCCGCGAGGCGATATTTATGGGGTATCCACCTGGTGTTAAGGCCTGGTGTTGTCATGACTCAGTCTCTGGCGCCTTCTTCAATTCACGAGACATCATCTTTGATGAATCTTTTTCCGACCGCCCTTTCCCCATCACTGATAGTGACGACGAGGACGACGATGACACCACGCCACACCAACTGATCGCTCCTCCCTCTGCGCCTGTACTTGCACCATCCAACTCGTCATCGACTGTCCCTCCTGCCATCGTGCCTACTCCTATGTCCATTGCACCAATCCGTTGTTCTGGTCGATCTCAAATTCCCACTGAACAAGGCCGTCTATTCCGCGAACAACTCACCTCTGATACATCGCGCCTTGATCGTCAATGCGACTTATGACAGGCTCGAGTGCGAGGAGTACCACCTGCAGACAGCATCCCTAGTCTCGTTCCTCCCGTTGCCATCGCCACACATCCAATCCTCCTTCCTCCACCCACTCATCCTCTCACAGCCGTCAACAATGTCAACGACGACACCATTTGCACTGATAATGAAACAGTAGGGTTCTCTCACATCATCGCCAACCTAATTGTTGCCGAACAGGCATGCATCTCCATTCACAGCGACATTTGCCACAACCCACAAGCTCCTGGGTACAATATGAAAGTCCCCCCTAACACGTACGACGAAGCCATGCATCGTTCGGACCAGGATTCTTGGCTTGCTGCGATGAAGCGAGAGATGAACTTGATGTCGGAGATGAACATATATGAGCTCGTTCCACTCCCCGCTGATCACAGGGCTATCGGTTGTCAATGGGTGCTTGAATTTCGAGAGGACCAGAAAGGTGGATCAATCTTCAAAGCTCAACTAGTAGTGCAGGGTTTCTCGCAGGTACCGGGGATAGACTTTGGGAAGACGTTCACACCGGTCGTGAAAGCAGCTTCCATTCGCATCATCTCTGCACTTGCTGCCCGCAATAACTGGGAACTCGACACGTTCGATGCAAAACGTGCTTTTCTGTGGGGCAAACTAACCGAGGACGTGTATATGCATCAACCACCTGGGTTCGAACGTTTCCCCCCTGGAGGAGGGACTCTTGTATGTCATCTCTTATCCTCGCTCTATGGTCTGAAGCAGGCGGCCTATGACTGGTATGAACTCCTGCGCGAGGTTCTCACTCACCTAGGTTTCCTCCGCATTGAGGCAGACTACGCCGTCTTTGTATACAACCATGTCAATGGAGTGGGGGAGAGAGTTATTTGCATCATTGCGTGGCATGTCGACGACGGACTTGCCGCCGCCAGTGACCATCCATTCCTCATCTGGATCAAGGGCCAAATCGCGCAGCAATTTGGTATCACGGACCTTGGTCCTGTGTCCAAGCACCTCAGGATTCAATTTGAACGAAACAGGACCACATGCGAACTATGGATGCACCAGATGGACTATATCATGTACCTCCTCGAAGAACATGGCATGCTCAACTGCAACTCCGTCACTCTCCCGATGGATCCTCACTTCCCATTCGGACGCGACACCGACGTACATCCTCACATCGATAACCTCACATCTGAGTATCGAAAGATCATCAGTGAATTACTCTACCTTGCCATGTACACTCGTCCCGACATTGCCGTTGCCGTCATGAAGTTGGCCCAACACAACTGCTCCCCAGAACCACGACACTACGCAGCAGCTAAGCACATCCTTCATTTCCTCGCCAGCTCAACAGGTCTCTGCACACACTATGGGGGTGCTGCTGCGTCACCGGAGTTGAACGGTTTTAGTGATTCAGACTGGGCTAGTTGTCCTGAAGACCGGATTTCCATCTCTGGTTATGTATGGTTCTTCAATGGCAGTCCTGTCTCCCACTCGTCCAAGAAGCAGGTCACTCACGCACTCTCCTCCATGGAAGCTGAATACATGGCCCTCACCGCTGCTATCCAGGATGGTCTATGGCTCACATCATTTTTCGAATGCTTGAAGATCCCTCTCACCCTTCCCCTCCAATTATTCGCTGATAACACCAGTGCTATAGCTCTATCTGAAGAAGCAGCCAACCATATATGCACAAAACACATCGATCTCCGATACCACTTCATCCGTGTGCACATCGAAGAAGGGACCTTCAAACCCGAATGGCTGTCCACTCACAAGAACGTCGCCGACATCTTCACGAAGTGCTTGCCTCGTCCGTTATTCCTTCGTCATCAAACTGGACTCTCGCTCGTTTCTCGCTAGCCAACAATGTATTGGTGTGGGGGTGTTGTAATTCATCATTGTTGTCATCATTCATAGCAACTTTCCTTATTCTATCGTCACGTGCATTCGCATATATAATACCTACCATTGTCATCGTGTTATACCTCAGTTGTTGTTTCCAACCACTGAGGTATGTTTCCTAGTTTCTAGTTATCCCGCTGTCTCTTACTTTACATCCTCTAGCGTGTTTCGCGTCTAGGTACTAATAATATATAGTCATTGTTTCCAACCACTGAGCGTGTTTCGCGTCTAGCTTCTAACAAGGAGACATATGAAGTCAAGGCAGGCGGGCTGCGTGACATGCTGATCACCACGGAAAGCAAGCTAATTTCGTCCTCGCGGTTGGCGGCCACTCGCCAGACGTTCTTGCTTGTCCGTCCGTGGGATCGTTCCCTTCTCGATCTGCCTGATTCTGCAGACGGGATGGAGAGAATGGAAGATGTCCCTGTGTTCAGGTCTGTTGGAGAAAACGAGCCCGCTGATTCGGAATCTCAATTGCGAGCATTGCGATTGACTGTTCGCCTCGGACAGCCATTTCGCACATTTTTGTTAGCTCAGCAATGCAGTGGAGAATACACGAGAGTCGCGACGGATTTTGATATTGTTGCACAAGTCGAAGGCATGGCTTCTGTTCGTAGTATGATGGACGTCAGGACACTTGAGATATTGTAGTTGTATTTTGAAGAACGGAGATTTCATTTGTACCCTGACAGTACCTTACTTACATATATACGGAATTACCCCTTTGTATTGGTATCGTATACTGGCTCACCCACAACTCACCCAGGAAAGAATCTACTTTGTTGGGTAAATGTCCTCACATCTCAGACATCAACTCTGCAACTAAAAACAATGCTGGTCACTAATCTTAAGTGTTGCACAAGCGGAGACGACAAACTATCTAAAACGGCATGCGCTACTACAGGTTCCTGTTATATCATCATGTTCCCTCCACCTACTAGGTCCAGCATAATATTGATTCGTGCATAGCTTACACCTAATCTTTTTACTGTACTTACATGCACCTTACAGTGCACCGACTTATCCTGCTCGGCATCCACTCGGCAGAGTTAACTTTGACCGTGTCACACTCTTGTCACATCATGTGATGTTTGTAGAATCCGCATGTTGTCTACCTCAAGTACGGAACAATTGTCTACGGTCTGTCTAGGCGAGCCTGCATACGCGTTATAGTATGCAGTTTGGTGCAGTTGCTAACCGCAATAGCATAATACCACTAAGGGCAGACGACGCCCCATCCTTTCCACTCTGTTCTGCCCTCCTGGATATCAAGAATTTTCTTCCGGAGTGCCGTACCAACTGGTCCCATCCCAGCCCCAGGAAGTACGATATCCTTGCCCTCGTGTCCAATTCTGTTGCAAGGTCCGATAATGACCGCTGTACCTATGGCCAATGCCTCCAGCAATTTGCCCTCGGACGACCATTTGGCGAGGTCACTCATGGTATACACCATTTCTCGTGGGTGCAAGCGCAGCGAGCTTTCTTTTTGGAATTCTGGATCGCCTGCGAGGGCCAGACATGATGCTCTAGTAACTCCAGGTAGAATAGTACCATCCAAGGGGGCGGTGATAAGGTCTACGCCTTCAAAGGATGAGTAAATGATACATATCGAATATGTCGAATCGAAATTCACCGTCTCCATCATCCCTCTTAACCACAACGAAGAAGTTCATTGCTCCAGCCTCCGTGATTCTTCTGTCGTCGCCAAACAGCCAAAGGATTTGGTCGTAGCCTTTCGCTGTAGCAGCTTGCTGGGGCAAGAAGCCGGGTGAGTAGTTGCCAGCGATTTTGTGCCCTCCAGTTCCACCCGGCCATGCGCGCACATTATCACTGACAGCGAGAAGAGAAACAGGCTTCAACACTTGGAAGTATGGCCCAGTTGGCGATGCCAGAATGTAAAGCATAGCATGGTCAGATGCTATTACTCCTAAACCTATGTTGCGATCAGGTGAATGACTGTATAGTATTAACTGATTCCACGAACCTGGTCGGGTTGCAATGACGGTAGGACGCAGATACAAACTATATCCCGATTCCTTGGGTATCCAGCGCCTCTCGAGATCTACCAGGCACTTTATCAGTTCCAAAACGACATCTCCGTCGATGGGCTGCGTGGTGCAACGAATCAGAGACACTCCCTAATATATGCAATGGTACTCACGGGAAGAGCGAGACGTCCACAAGACCTCTCCAAGCGACGCATGTTCATGTCTGGGCGGAACAAGCGTGCCTTACCGTCGGGCCCAAGATACGCCTTCATACCCTCAAAGACATTTCCACCGTACTGGAAGCACGAGCATGCGGGATCAAGTGTAATAGGTCCGTGAGGCTTAACCTCAGGCGCGGACCATCCTGTTTCAGGATCGTAATTTGCAACGATCATGTGGTCCGAAAATGACTGGCATAGCTATCGTTAGATATGGCCGTCTGACTCGGAGATGTTGCTCACCTGGCCGAAACGTAATGTCTCGATGGGCTGCAGGGGCTTCAGTGTTTCCGAGAGTGTGACCTTCAGCTTGGACGCCTGCAACAGCGTTGGGGTTATACATGACTACGACGTTCAGCAGACTCATCACACTCACATCGAGTGGAGCAGGCCCACTTCCAATGCTGTCTCTGTCACCCATGACTATTGGGACTACTAGAGAGAAAATACGAGTTATCAGTTCGACTCATTTTTATACATGACAGTGCATGACAAGCATGACTCGATCAAAGTTTCGCTTAAAACGTCCCAAGAAGGATTGTCATATGATCGAATCGCCATGCAAGTCTGAATTTCCACATGGGGATTATCAGCCCGAGGTCCTATTACTTATACTACAGGACCCCGGCTGCTCCCTCTGCCCGCCGGGTCGAGAGAGGTCGAGACTTGGCGAGACTTGTCACCTACTAGCCTCGATCATACATCATATGTACGTCGTGATCTAATTCATACCTCTTGAATGACTTTGACAGGCTCGGTGACCACAAGACGTGTCGATATGTCATTCTGGCATCGACATGCTGGTGAATGAATTATGACGGTAAGGTTTTTGGAGCAGGGACATTGCATTTCACTTAGTACTTCTTTGAATCAGTTTGCCAGGTTGGCACTAAGTGAAATCCACCACGCCCTTCGTCACTCAATGCATAGTGACGTGGCGAATACCCCATACTCGACAAGTACGAATACCCATTCCACCATCATCATCGTGACGAGGATTCCAAACCTACAGCAGACCTCATGGGCAACCGCCACGCAACTCACCGCGGCTTGTGCCACGTCTCGAAGATCACTGTGAGTATTGATGCTCTCGACTACTCTCGACGATCGCAGCTAATTTCTTCCAACAGTACTGGCATTGTCACAGTGACGAGCAATGTTGATGCCAACTCATCTGATCTTACGTCACCGTACAATACTCTGAGGGCCGCTTTCTTGGGGCAAGTGGCCTGCTATGGTCTGCCTGCACAAGAAGTACGGTGACGGTAAAGGTACCCCCCACGAGAGCATGCCCGTTGCTGGTTGCCAATTGTTTATTCATTGGCTACATTCTGGCACTTTAGAAAACCAACGTGTCGTCTGTTGACGCTAGCCAGCATCAAAAAGCACTTGTTTTACAATCTCGGAATATCTGCGCTTGGTGGCGCCGAGGGCCGGTAATGTACGCATGTATCACACGGAAAATCACACATCTGGAACACGGATTCCCCGCAGCTTCAAGGCACTTTGAAGAGTCAAAAATGCCGCGCACCGGGAGCAAATTGTTAAAAAAATGGGCGGACATCTGCGGACATGCGTAGTATGAAGAGCAGCCGGGGTCCTAAAGTTCACGCGATCGATGAGCTCGGTTGGCACAATGAAATGAAACAAGTGCTTCGAGAGGCTTTCCCTTTTGTGAACGGCATATCGTCGCTGATAAGGTCTGATTATCACTCTGATATCAGCACCTGATACCTTGCGTACGTATTAACACCATACACGCGGTGAGCCTTTACTATGCGGTCCGCGTCAAAGATGCCCACGTCATTGAAGTACGTACTGACATGGATCTAAGCTAGACCAACCTCAAGACCGCTACGCTCTCCACATGTGCAGTCTGTGGGAACAAATCAAATCCCCTCAAGCTCTCCAGGACATATTTCCTCCCACCGCCTTCCCTCTCCATCTTCTCCATAATCATCCCCACATCACGCGCTTGCGTATGCACATTGCAGCTCACGTATACCACTGTGCTACATGCAAAGCGAACCAATTGCTCGATGAATGGCTCATCAGAGCCCTTTCGCGGTGGGTCTATGATCAGTGCTGTTTTGTCTGGGGGGAAGTGCGAAACGGTCGAGAATATGTTCGCTGCATCACCCGCCAGAAAAGAACATTTCCCTTCCGGGAGGCGGTTGATAATAGCATTCGACGTAGCAGACTTGATTGACTCGGCGGAGAGCTCAATACCTGCGACAGTGTCGAAATGTGGCGCGAGCATCAACGAGAAGAGACCTGAACCGCAGTACGCGTCCACGAGATGCGTGGGCCCAGACGATGCCGAGGAAGGGAAGATTGCGTCTTTTACGTATGAGGTAAGCGGGACAAGCACCGAATTGTTGTTCTGAAAGAACGAATGCCCTGGAAACTCGAAATACGTAGAATCTACGCGTTCGCGGACAGTTGCCTTGTGGTTCGTGATGCAGATGTGCTTCTCGTCCTCTGGAGCGGGAATAGACGAAATATCGGAAGGCAAGTGCTCAATGGAGTCGCGGAGAAGTAACGAAACACCTTTCTTATAGCCCCAGATATTCCTGATGGAATTCAGATATGGTTAGAGTTTTCAAAACAGCTCACCTACTTGATTATATCCTCCCTTATAGGTCCAAGTACTGCGTTTAACACAGGGGTCGCAATAGGACACTCCTGAAGCTGCTAAGTACAAATTGCGGCATCTCAAGTTGGTTATTGTTACCTCAATATCCAGCACTGTCCGCTTGCCGATTTCATTAAAACCGATCTTCAGCCAACCCGGCTTATCTGTCGAAGTGGCTGAACTTGATTCAGCGTCCTTGCGTGCTTTTTTCGGTGGGGCCTCAAAATGCGGTGTTATTTTCGTGCGGTAGCCGTATTGAAGTGGCGAGGCTATGGTTGGAAGCACGTCTGGAATGGATTCCTGGGGGAGGTCTAGTCACATGAGCGAAAGTATCGGAAGTGAATGATAGAAAGGTGTACTTGAGAAGTTCTGATAGGCTTTTATGACCACGTCACGCTTGATTCCGAGTTGAGTGTCGTAAGAAAGCATCTAACATGCAACATCAGCGGTTGAATGAAGATAAGATGATTATTAAGATTATGATACATCTGTTATCAGTTCGGCCGAACTTGAGAGCTGATGTTCATGCCGATGCTAAAGAGGTACTCGACTGACCTGATATTGGCAACCCGAACATTGTCCAAAATAGCGGCACTTCGCACGGCTGTCATCGCGCAGGTCAGGATTTGGGGAAATGACTTCAAGAAGGTCGGCGAATGAATGTAGACGCGAACTGCGATAAACTCGAACACGGATTATTTCCCCTGGTAATGCGAATGGTGCAACGATCACCCAAGGAGGATGAGAAGCAGGGGAACGTGCCAGCGCATCGCCTGAGATCCGTGGAGGCTAGTCAAAATCAATAAACAGAGAGGGTATTTATCCGCACCATTGGAAGATAAATTAGATACTTCTACCTCTACCTCTTCACGGAAATCAAACGGCGAATCCCACTCGGTGCCATGTTGCAGAGCATGGTCGACTGTATCGTTTCCTAGTAGCGCGACTATGTCACGCCATAGAACATCATCTGGGGAGTAAGGCTCTGGCAAGACACGCTTCTGCTTCTGCTTCCTCTTCGCTAATCTCGATGCTTTCTTGGAGGGTCCGGGCGGCACGAGAACGCTATTATTCGTCTTTTCATTTGTTACATCAGACTCATCTATGGTATGCTCCTCCATTCGCATCTTCTTCTCCGATGGCGTAGGGACGTCATGATCGGATGTTGGTGATCTAGCACGAGTAGACATTGCAGCTGATACTAGTTCTCTTGGACTGGCAGCTAAAGACGCTGGCTCGAGCTTTACAAAGCAAATCAGAAGAACAAGTTGGGTACCCGCGGTGCGAATGGGCTATAATCAGCCTTGGAATGGTGTGGATGGCCCTGTTCACAATAGTGACAACACTCATAAGTACCTCTTGAGTCAAAGCTTCACCATCAAAGAAAAAATTATATTCCTCCGCGCCAACTCCGCGCCGCCGGTAAGGTCGAAGTAGGAAACCCACACGTGACCAGCGGTTTCTTACCCGAACACTGAACATTGATTCCATTCAGACTTGCAACAGAATCTTCGTGTGGACTTCGCCAAGCCTTCTCAACTGCATTGATTACGTTCAGGATCCCTGGGAGACCCGACAGCTTATATATTGTCCCTTTTCCATCCTTTTGCACCATGATTATTACTCTCGCCCGCTCGCTGCTCATGGAGCCCCCTGAGACAACGGGAGAACCAGCGGATTCAGCCACCTTCTGGTGGAAAATCGCTATCAGTGTCGTCCTTGTGCTTGCGGGAGGTGTATTCGCAGGGTGAGGCAATTCCGGCTAAATATATGCTATGAGGTGGTGTTGATCTTGCGTCATAGATTAACTCTCGGGCTGATGGGTCTAGATGAATTGCACCTACGTGTCCTGGCTACCTCGTCAGAGGATTTGAAGGAGAAACGCAATGCGCAAAAAGGTGGGTTGCAAAACAGCCTCGGTCTCTTTTCTGAGTTGATAATATTGGTTACGCGACCAGTATTAAAACTGATGCAGAAAGGCCGTCATTGGGTATTAGTAGTATGTTGAGACACGCATGCACGCGCATATAAATCAATGCTAACTCATGTTGTAGGTACTCCTTCTGGGCAACGTTGTAAGTGGCCATCTCAAATATGGCCCCACATCTCTGCCACAGCTCAATATCCGCAGGTCGTCAACGAAAGTTTACCGATCTTTCTCGATGATGCCGTAAGTAAAATTAATGGATATCAATTATTCCGCTTCGTGTCGGTTAACAAAATTCCATTTGCGCTAGCTTGGCGGTGGCATTGCAGCCGTTGTAATCGCCACCACCGCAATAGGTGGGTTCTTTTACTTTGTTGTTTTCTATCTGCTGATATGCCGCTCGCAGTTATTTTTGGGTACGCTCTCACCTCTCTCCGACTTGGACTTGTTGAACGCACGCCATATTCCTCTTTTTCACAGAGAGTACGTGTGACAGTCGATCCTCGTGGCAAATATCTGATTGATCCCATCATATATTTTCTGCAGAATTATCCCGCAGGCTGTCAGCGTCAGATATGGTCTCGCAATCGGCGCACGGTGTGCACCTTTTGTACTTGGCCTTATGTATTTGTTTGGTAAGTACTTGTTAATACTGTCTTGGGGACATAATAACTCCGGATGGTAAATAGCCCCTGTTGCATACCCTACCGCGAAGCTCCTTGATTACGTTCTGGGCCAGAATGAAGGTCACACTTACAAGAAGGCTGAACTCAAATCTTTCCTACAGTTCCATCGCACGGGAGAGGAACCGCTACGGGATGACGAGATCAGTATATTGAATGGTGTACTAGAGCTAAATACGAAGAACGTGGAGACAATCATGACACCCATCAAGGTAAATGTTTCGTTGGCGGCAGATAGGACAGTGTTGCTCATGTGTTTCGGAACTGTAGGACGTTGTAACGCTGAGCTCAGACGCCATTCTTGATCACGCGACTGTGGACGCAATGTATATATATATCACGGCTTCAGTTTTCTGTTGTTAGTTTGACTAACTGCTCGTTCAGTCTCTCAAGCGGCTACTCACGCTTTCCTGTACATGCACCCGGAAATCCTTTGGCATTCCAGGGGCTTCTACTTATCAAGAAGGCAATTTCGAAGTTATATGCCAGCCTGCCTAGACGCTGAAGTTGTTTCTCAGTTGTTGGTTTATGACCCGGCGCGAGCTCTTCCAGTCTCGGATTTCAAGCTCTCGATTCTTCCGGAAGCATATCCCAGTATAAATTGTTTCCAAGCGCTTGATTACTTGTGAGGATTTTCACTTTGGTTTCCGTGGCGCCTCTGATGAATGCTCGCAGTCAAACGGGACGTGCCCACCTACTAATGGTCAGTCGAACACCCGGGATTGCAGGTGGTGGAATTGGAGTGATCACGCTCGAAGGTGTGTTCTTCCCAGGTAACCCTGTCCCATTACTGATATCCTTATTCTAGATATCATCGAGGTATGCTTATCTTGGACGGCAGTATATATCCAGGGACAACGATTTTTCTGCAGGAGATCATATCAGAAGAAATCGTGGACGAAACAGATCGATATGAGGATAACCAGAGTAAAAGACGTGCGAAACGAATGACTACTGCTGCTGTAATGCGGGGGTTCGTACACAGTTATCCCTCGTCTACACCTGTCACTAATATAATCTTCGAAGGATTGTGGAACGGGAACGAAGTCTAACGCGAGTGCCGTCTGTCGAGCAGATACCCTTATTGCGTGAAACACCTCTCATGTCATGCACTCCGCGCTCCGAGATCAGTTATTCGATTCCTCGTTACGGTGCAATACTTAACCAGTCCCCAAAAGCATGAATATTTTGACCATGGGCACAAGGGTTTCTCGTTGGAATTTATTGGTATATGGCATATTGACATTGACTCATTGTTTTATTGCTATGTACTATTATCTTTCTATGTAGATCAAAACTACAAGTGGACAAGCCACAGAAAAGGTACTGCAATGAGATATGATCCGTATCGTACGTGGCTAGGGTGGTGTTTGATAAAATTTCTGTATCTTTCTACGTAGATCTTCGTTCGGCTGTTAATTGCAAGATAGACACGCCGCACATCCGCGGGATGGCAACTTTGCTTTCGCAGAATATCTCTCAAGCTTGAGCTTTGTTGTGTAGTCTGATGTGTATCAAGGTGTGAAGTTCGAACAATTCGAAGGAAATATGACGTCGAGGATTCTTCTCTCACTTTTCTTTCGAACAAGCTGCAAGAGTGTAATTTCATGGTACCATGCGGATAGTATTAGGTGCTTTTGCTGCTGGTGGTTCTCCGTGAACTTTTGAAATTATACTGTATCACAATTCATCCGATGCAGGTTGCGATAGAATTGGCGGTGGAAAGATGAGCTCCCTTCGTCGAGACTCCACTCTCAGCGCGCTCGAAGCGGCACTGCAATTAGAAGTGCAAGAGATTACCGTGACTGCGGAACATGAAGGCCAGGAGGTGGAGGTGATGGCACCAATTCCTAGCTGCCATCTGAGATCACAAACTCTTCCACCTAACGCCAAGCCTCTCTGAGGAGGAGGAGATGTTGTATGCGTGCTATATATTTGGCTACCAGTGTATCTGAGGTATGTAGATGAATGGTGCTTCATTCATCTTGGTAATATCTAATGATCAAATCCACTAGCTGACTAGTGATCTTCACTTGCAGATCGGTCGAGCTCTCGTAGTCTTTCCTTTAAACAAATCATCAATACCAGGTCACCTGCTCAGTGGTACATGAACTTACCTCTAGAGCAAACAAGTGCGAGTCATACGATGCTGGCGCAAGCTGGCGAACTGATTCCGCCAGACGATAGAGATACTCCTAAGGACAATATTCTTAGATCTACTCTAAGCTAGATGAAGTTTGACGAACCTTATTCTGTCCCGAGGGTCCCACGGAGGCCCATATCCGCTGTGCCAGGTCCTCTAATAGTTCTGAACCAACTGATGGCATCGTCAATAGATCAAACTAAAAACAGGAAAGTAGGATGCTCACTAAATGACGGGTTATCTGGCCGACCGACATAGCACTTGCTTCTCGTGAGATCGATACCTCAGTCAGAAATATGACACGTACATAAGCCTGAACTGAGGAATCAACGATGGTTAGGCGAGGCAAGTGAAGTGTTGCATACATCGTAAATTGCAATCTTTTCTATACCATTCTCTATGGTGTAGACATTCAGCGTCTCCATTGTATATCCATCCTGAGATGATTACACGTTGTCCCACATAATCAGGTAATCTAGCTCTGCGGCGTACCTTTTCTCTGTAATCTTTCGGGAAATCACGAGTGTAAATACAAACTGTAGGGCCGTAACATCATTGATGATATCGGACTCACCCAAGTAATCCCTAACTTCTGTCTCGTATGCTGGGTCGATCGTATACGCTATGCCTGTGGAGAAGGACAGCATCAACGAGGAGGCACCTCCATAGACAGGAAACCCTTGCCCCAAACAATATCTTCATCCGGGAATGCATCCTAGCATGTATGTATGTGGATGTCCTAGAAGATTAGAGAAGATGAACTCACAGACCGGGAAAGGCGATCCCAATCCTCCTTGTGGATAAGAGTTACCACACGTCCCGGATTCTGCGATATCACGATGAATGCTACGTCAGGAATTCCGCGGACGCGTGCAGTGATCGACGAGTGGGACACACCTCCGGTGTGCCACGATGATCATGCGATTTTTGAGCGAAGCGCCTCACGTAGCCTTTAAGGAATCCGGAGGCTACAGAAGGCCAGATTTATAACGATTTGTTGAGCTGAATGGATCAATCGCTCACTCTGGGATTGGACATGAGGTGGGGGCTAATATACCACCGGTGGTTCGCAGTTAACGGTTGTTGCCATACCTCTTGTGGTCTGTCCTCACCTTGAATATCAGTGAGCCGTACCCAAAGACCACGAATGGAGGATTGATTGATCCCATCGACGTCTTGTTGGTCAAGCTAAGACTCGGAGCACAATTCAGTTAGAGCTGTGTAATCATGATATGCAAGAAAGACGTGATATGGCACTAGCCGGCGCAAACTACCATGTACGGTATGAGGGGGACGAATTCATTTCCATGTCCGGTAGCTACACTAATACGTAGCATACTAGCTCCTGCGGGGCAATGAATCAGGGCTTTCAAATTTTCAAGTTGCCATCCTTGCAAAACCCTGCATTGGGTTAATCATATACATGATATTGGACAGCAAAGAACAGGGATCCCTCGCAGGAAACACAAACGCCTCACTGGTGGAGAGATCACGCACAACATGATGCAAGGGCCACGCTGGGGAACGTAGCATGACGGGGTGGATGTGTGCTCAAGCTATAGGGATATAAGTTAAAGTATACAAGAACGCCGATTGACTTTCATAACACGTGATTCTGTCCGATGTCTAGATAAATCGGTCCCGAGTGTAACTTCCTTCCAATGTTTCCATGTTTCCATACGAGGCAGGATTCTGATAGATCCTCCCTAGTCGACTCTGTGACAGAGAAGACACAAGGAATCAGGCGCGCCACCAACGCGGGTGATCTGCACTTACCTAAAATTGTACTTCACTCTTGCCCTCCACTCCACAGGGGCTGGCCAGATCCAATACAAGATGTGTCCAACTCGCATGTACTGGGGCATGATGACTATCTTCTCTTTACGATCAATGGCCTGAATACAGCGCCTCGCCACCGCTTCGCGTCGCAAGCCGTGTTTGTTCGGGTCAGCCTCGTGTATAATAGGAGAGGAATTGGGTGGTGTGTCGACCGCGGAAGCGCGGAAGTCTCCCTCAATCGTTCCAGGAAGGAAGCACACGAATGATATACGGGGGTGCTCGATTGCGAGCGCCTGAAAGAGTACTAAGGAAGCTGATTTAGTGGAAGCGTAGAGGGTGCGTGTTGGGGCAGGAATAATTGCTGCCACACTTGAAAGTAGAAGAACAGATGGTGATGTGGAGCAGGTCGTAAGGAGAGGTATCTAGAAAGTTCTTTAGTGATCAATGGGCTCCAGTGTCCACGGAGATATAGTCTCACAAATGTGATTGCTGCAATATATGGACCGAAGAAATTGCCATCGAGGGCGGCTTTAGCAACACCAACCGCGTGGCCAATGGCTTCTGCAGTGGCATGTGGCGGAGACTCGGAAGCAGTCACTCCAGCGACTGACATCAATGGTTGAAGGGCAGAAACACCAGCAGTTATTATGAGGGTATCTATGCCATCCCACTCTGCACATCACTTCAGTGACAGTACGGAACCAAAAGAATCCATATGATACCTTTGATCAGCGTGTCGCGCACCTTTGTCATGTCTTCCACGCTTGCGCAATCCCCGCGCACACTCAACACATGATCGCCTTTGCATAACTTCCTGCATTCCTCAGCAGCCTCCTCGAGCATTTTCTCCCTTCGTCCTACCAAGCACACTCGCGCACCTCTCTTGGCATATTGATGAGCAAGGGTACGACCTACTCCGCTCGTCGAACCTAGTATGAGGACTCTCTCTTGTGTTGGTGGGATCTGAGCAAGCCGTGGTGGGGGTCGTAGGTTCCGGAGAAGAAGGAGACCAAGAGGCAAGACTCCAAGGGCTAGTGTTACTGGTGCAATCCTGAGATGCTGTAGACATTCGAACATCGCTATCGAATTCAGCAGGGTATGAATGCAATTGCTGTACTTATACCCGAGTGATGTCTTAATTTGATGGCATCAGATGCATGCGCACCTATAGTAGATGTAAGTGGGGTACAGGACAACTTCAGGATGTCGCACTGCAAAATCGGGATGGAGGCACTTTCTCACGCTTCTAACCTAGACTGTGACTTATCAATCGTACCTTTTCGATACTTAGACCCATTCTCTGGACCGCGGACGTCAAGAATGTTGAACTGGCATTGCGTTGGACCGTCTTCCACTGGCACCACGTAATTAAGTAGTCGAGCTCAGTAGATCTTTGATGGCGATGCGACTGATTTGAGGTTGGTTCGAATGCACTATCTCCCTCCATCTCCGTGGATGAAATCACGCTACAGAATGAACGACTGTCTTCATTCTGTTAGGGTCTGCTACGGGAGACTGAAATTACCCCACCTCAACGTGCTTGGTCCTTTTGAGTCAGACGTCAAGCATGCACTAGACGATTCACGAGTCCTCGATTAGCTGCACAACGTTCAGTTTAGGTATCGTCCGTGTTAGATCTCTTCCCGCACGAAATCCATTCTTCTCTAACTTATAAAATGCAGCGTACATGAGGATCTCCTCTCATGCGTGTGTGTTCTAGCACCGGATCGCGATTTTCATAATGGTGTCCGCCTTGCAGTTTCGCTTGTATAGCTTGATTTTCCAAACACGTGACTGACGCGTCGCGATCAACTTGGTTGGCAAGCACGCACAAATATCCTAGGAGTGTAAATATCGCGGATCGCCTATAGAACCGCTCGCCTTCGAATATCTTGCCAGCGAATTCTACACCTGACGATATTCGCACATCATGATCTCTGTCACTTACGTCGCCTCACGAATCGCTATAACTGGGTTCCTGTCGGTGTCATTTTTCCCAAAAACCGTCATCACTCCTACGCTTCAGGTTCTGCGCGACCCCAAGAAGGTTTCCGCTAAACGTTTCGTGTCGACGTTTTGCATGTCAACCATAAGCCTTCTTCTGGCCGCCGACGAAGTCGCACGAAGGTTTCTCGCCCACGAAACACATGCACCCTTCACTGGCGCTAACGCTACTGACGACACGCCCACTGCTCTGAGTGGTCGCCCGCCCTCCGACTTAGAACTTCCAGACGACCACGAACCCTCAAAAGAACGAAAGGTCGACGATCCATGCACGACAGAATCCCCAGTTTCAGCTTCGCCATCTTTCCTTCATTCTTTTTCACCATCTTCGTCAACTGTATTCAATCCCGACTCGACGCCTTCCACCATTATCGATTTGCCAATCCCCCCCTCTAGTTATTGTAACCGACTGTCAATCTTGTCTGACAACACCCTCATGGACGACCACGACGACATGTCCTCCGACGACACCTCGTACACGAAAGACCTTGAGTGGTCTGGTGACGAAAGGACTTTCCACGAGGTAGGGAGCCTTCATCATAGCCTAGATTTGCGTCGCCTAATGCCTTTGTCCCTACAGGACGACTATATTACATCACACCCTACGCATGTATCAGCACACCCTATCGCAGCGGCCGTTCCGATTACAGCACAACTTACGCCTGAACCAACACACCTTTCGCATGCATCACCACACCCTACACACGAACCACCACACCCTACGCACGAAGCAGCACTCGCACGCACTACCCACGATAAGCACGGACGCCACTTCGACATTCTACCCCCAGCAACAACAACCATCGCCATCCTACCCCCAACAATCACAACCATCGTCATCGACCAAGGTCCTCTTCGTCTGTCGAACATTCGACCATATGCTCTAGTGGATGAAATTCAGACGACCTCGATGAGTACTAACCTTCCTCTTCCCCGATATGTCCACCCCAAGGACATATTGCTCCAGAAGCCAAAGGCCACGCTCTCCCTCCGCAAGCTCAAGTTTGGCATACAGGAAAAGGTATGAACAGGCTTGTTGCTAGACTACGCTAATCATCATAATCTGTTAGCGCACACCTAGAGTTTCTCGATTAAACGCTGCCTGCGGCAGCATCATGCGTTCTCGCTCCAGGCGACACGCCAACGTGATCGGTCAGTATCTCTCGTGACGTCCATATTGTTTGTTGATTTCAGTCCAACTAGTAGGTCACCTCACGCAAGAGTACGAACGGATTCGCGCGGACCACACTGTTCTCTTTGACGACTGGGTTGCTAGAATGGCGGAGGTGGGACTCACCTCGGTGCTGACCGGACACCCAGCGCCACCAGGATCCCCGCCTCCTCCCAAAGTTGATACAACTCCAGCTTCAGAGCCTGGTTCACGGATCAAGGCCCGCCTTGCATCACTCCGCCAACGAACACATCCAATTGTAGCGGCAATTCCAGCCACCACCTCACCATCTTCATTTCCTGGCAACTCATGTCCTGATATTAACTTCACAAATCACCATTTTACGCCTGCCCATCACTTCACTTTGGCGCCAAGAACTTCACCACCTAGCACAGGGTCAACAATATCACAGACCACGAGAACCGAACTGAAGAACTCGCCACGATGTCGCATTAAGAAGACGACCATTTCATGACACGCCGTGACGACCACTCAAGACACCCACGAGTCGCGACGCTATTGATTCGTGACACTCACGACGCCACGACCCCACCAGGAGACGACCACTCATGACCCTCAAGACCGAACACTCACGACCATCAGAAGACGACACGACCGCAAGATGACCATTCATGATACTCATTTCATGACCCTTGCAACGCCGTGATGCTGCCAGAAGACGACCATTCATGACACTCAAGATCCCAAAGATGCTACCCATGTGATGACACTCACAACGCCATTAGGAAGATGACTATTTCACGACACTCAGCGTTGACACACTAATCAAAACGGCCCACTCCATCCTAGTGAGACGAGAAGCTCGACCCGCGTTCAACGGTTTGCTTATATCTACATACTTTACCCGTTTCCCTGCCTTGAGCTGCTTGCTCTGCACATTCCTGTAGTACTAGTTTTGATGTCCAAGGTAGAACGCAGTTCCGAATATGGATTTTTTCTGAGACTCAATAGCAAACGCGCCTTCGAATTCAACTTGCTTCACGCTCGACCGCTCGCCAAGAGTGAATAACTGCAGAACAACCCTAATACTTTCCAGCGCTCATTTTTTTCGGAGGACAACCTAGAGTCACATTCATGTTAACAGTGAGATTAGTGAGTCCTCCGTGTTCTGTCGGTAATTACCTCCTAGGCCTCATGCGCGAGAGGGAACCAGATCAGACATGGGCAGTCAACCGATAATGTGGTCAGTTTGTTCCGCAGTATCCGTGCGCTGTATCATACTTAGATGTCGCAGAGACAGGTTGAGGCAGGGTGGGCCGATGCCCCACTAAGTCAGCGCGGTTCGTTCCACGTCATCTCAACTCTGATATGCTCTCCAACGTGCAAGGAAAGCGGTAAGCCCTCTTCAGTTCTACTGCTTCCAATTGATATCTATTAGCAAACCGAAGCTCTCGGCGCATACATTTAACTATATTCACCAAGATTTATGTCTCGCCACTCAAGCGCGCTTCCAGCACTGCAGCGCCTGTCCTTGCCGCCCAACCTGCCCCACAGCCTTCGCATGACTTCAACATCGAGTGCATCAAAGAGCAGTACTTTGGCGTTGGGGAGGGGAAGCCGTGGTGTTTCTGAGATTACAGGACTTCCAAGTCTCTCGCGGAATGCGAGGAAAAGTACCCCGCACTGCTTCCAGGCGAACGGTTCACGGAAGGCGAGTCCGATAGAGACCTGGCAGCGCGTGCGGTGCGGCCGTGGATGAGGTGATCATGCCCCACGTACGCAATGCAGAGCACATCGCGCTCGTGAGCCATGGGCTCTACATTGACGCGCTCGTCGCTGCGCTATTGAAGAGAGACTCTAGCGGTATTGCCCCTACTCGTGAGTACACTGGGATGAAGAACACGGCGTGGGCGAGAGTAGTCATTAAAGTACAGGTTTGTTGATGGCATGGTTCTTTTCTATGCGGATGTTGATGAGGCATGCAGGGCATTGCGGATGGGACACCAATATATCTCGCTGACGAAGACGCTGCCCCTCTGGTCATACTTAATAGTGACGGACTTCAGTCATGCAGACCATCTCGTCTCGCTTGTACGTCCACCCATCTTCACCGTTGTCTATGTAGTTGAGAAATGCTACTGCCTTTCAGAACTCCAACACCTGCGGGACCGGCAAGATTGCCTACGACCAAAGGCAACGGGAAATTCGGGTGTCCTTCAGCGGCACGACGAAGGCAGTTGCTACTGAGCACTGCGAGAGCAATGTACTGGACGGTGTTGATGGAAAAGCAAAGAACTGACTTATCCACACCTTATACAACCACGTCACTAGAAACCTGCAAGTTCACGGCTCCGTGAACTGAGCAGAGCATTCGGAAGCTATGAACAGATACCTAGACTCGCCATTCGACATTGTTCGACGTAGGCAAAAAGGTGTATGACCAAAACGTACCATATTGTCTTGCGTGAAGATTCAATGTCATGATTCTGAAGTTCTTACATTTCTGAATAGTCTCCCCTAACCAGCCCTATGTAGACGGAGGGAAGATGGTCGTTCCTTCTCGTAATTTCTGGATGAGATCATGATGGTTTGCAGATCTTCAAGAAATATTCGAACTCCGCACATCTGCTTGGATAAGTACTTATGTAGTTCAACTTGGTCAAATACCCTTGCAGCTGTCTCTAGCTGTCTATCGTCTCTGGGTCCGGGCTAAACATGGTTTAGGAAGCGGATAACTTCGACTCCGGCGCAAGTGGAGGCAAGCGGTTCCTAGAACAGGCCAAGTCACTGGGTCAGCTTGGCCCAGTCATTTTATGATGGAAGGTCCGAAAATCGTCCCTTTAGGTCTGGCTGAGGGAGAGTGGTGGCCTGGACAAGGATAAGAATAAAATGCTTCACTCGACATCTACTAGCACCCTGCTTATAATTCGACTGTCGAAAAAATGGTTAACAAGGTCTGTGACTCATCCGTCAATAAGATTCTTCCAACATGTCCTTTCAAGCAAGTGATAGTCTGTGAATTTCACCAAATGGTTGTCTAATAAAGACAAGTATATACTCACCTAGCCTGGCTAGCCTCGTAAGATCTGTTATCATTTGGCTATCATTGAAATATCGAAGAGATTGAAGTTGAAGCTGCCAATGCACGTGACCGCGACGCGTTCGTCAAGAGTCAAGACGCGTCGCTTTTCGGAACCCCATTGATATTCAAGAAGCAACCTTCGTAATTGATTCTAATTGCCGATATGTATGAGGTGAGCGGCAACGCAAGTTTGAACACCAATATTGTAACGCAGCCACCCGATGTTTGTGACTGCGCATCCACCACCTCTTCATGCCTACTTTCTTTTGACTTGCACCCTACTCCGGGGCTCTAAGTCCAGCCACCACCAAGACACAACATCGAATAGTAATGTCTCAGCTACCCTTCTCTTATGCTCTTGTAATCATCACTCTCTCGTTCTGCTTGACATCACTGGCTGCAACTGCAGATGATTGGAGAACTCGATCCATATACCAGGAAAGTCCTCTGTCCACTGAGTGCAACCGCAAAGCGTTGACTTGCCCCGCAGATCATTACAGATAGATTTGCGCTCTATGGCAAGGATAATGGCATTGCTCCTACTGTCCCATGTGATACGACTGCCCGTGAATACTGTGGTGGCTCGTGGAGAGGCGCCATTGACCATTTGGACTACATCAAGCAGATGGGCTTCGATGCGGTTTGGATATCTCCGGTCTTCTCCAACATTGAAGGCATGACCCCTTACGGTGCAGGTTATCACGGGTAAGCATCCTTCAATAATGGTCCCCATATATGTCTGACCATATTCCAGCTACTGGCCTCAAGACCTTTACTCCATTAATCAGCATTTCGGCTCTGCGGACGATCTCAAGAATCTCAGCTCTGCTTTGCATGAGCGACATATGTTCCTCATGCTCGACATTGTCGTTAACCACATGCTTACAACGCTACCTCTGAACGTCACTGCTTCGAGCTTTGATGCACCTCAGAATGGCTCGGCAACGGATATGACGCCTTTCGCAGATACGGATGACTTTCATCCACTATGTTTTATCACGGACTACAACAATCAGACCGATGTTGAACAATGTTGGTTAGGCGACGCCACACTACCGTATGCAGACGTGGATACGGAGAATCCGAGCGTCGTGGGCACACTCCACAGCTGGATTCAAGATGTTGTGTCTAACTTTAGAGTGGACGGTCTAAGGCTCAGCACTGTCAATTTCGTTTCTCCGCAGTTTTGGCAGGATTTCACGCGAGAAGCAGGAGTGTTTACTATCGGAGAGGTATTCCATTTCTCCTCATCGTCATACATAGTGTGACCAATATCGTTGCCAGGTCTTGTCGAACGATGTCAAATACACCAGCGATTACACTCGTGAGCCCACGCGCACAATAAGAAGCTTCGTCTGTTGACATACCTACCACGTCAGACGTCATGGATGCGGTGCTCGATTATCCAACATGGAATGCCCTTGTACCAGCATTGCAGTCCCCAGAGGGAAATCTCTCTGCCTTAACCACCGTCGTAAAGGAGTCGCAGCAGCTTTACGCAAGCAGTACATTCATGACGGGTTCCTTCCTAGATAACCACGACCAAGCGAGATTCAAACATCTAGTCTCAGACGCTGCCGTGAGTCTGAAAGTGCTGCCTAATAATTGTTTGTACTGAACATCTCTGCCGCGCAGCTTGCGGCTAATGCAGCAGTTTGGCCTTTTATACATGATGGCATCCCAATTATATACAATGGTGCGTGACGGCACTTCTACCAACTTGCATAAGTGTAGTCATTGACACTCGACCAGGTCAAGAACAGGGTCTTGCTGGAGGAGACCCACCAGCAAACCATGAAGCGTGAGTGCTAAGTTCTGAGTTCTGCTCAAAATTTGACGGTGAGGGACACGGGGGCTAAAGTATCTGGACGACGAGATACAGCAATGAAAGTGCCGAGTACCTTGCGTTCAAGAACCTGAATCGTGCTCGCAAAATTGCAATGGCTGCCAACACCTACTTTCTGATAACACCGGTGGGTCAATTGAATGCTTATTTCTGTTCCATCCCAATCCCGTTTCAAATCTAGATGGAGTTCCTCGAAACCAATACCAATAACACGCTCGCAATATGGAAACCTCCAATGCTCACCCTTCTCACGAACGCAGGTTCTACCTCAGCGCGTTGGAACGTCACGCACAAAATTTTCAGGCCTCACCAGCATATCGTTGATGTGTTGACGTGTGTCGTTCATGTGGCGGATGAAAGCGGCGGCGTGACTGTGGGGAGCCCCGCGGGGCTGCCAAAGGTTGGTACGAACTTGTGTTGTCCCAAACTTGGAATGGTTACGAATGCGTGCAGGTATTCATGCCAGTTGCAACACTGGAAAATAGTCCCGACTTATGTCCTGCGAGTGACCTGAGTGGGGAATCAGTAACTCGGACTCTCTCGCGGTGGATGGCAGCATACATCATTGCATGTGTCATCCTCCTCCTATGACCCGTGGCCTACAATTCATCACTTGTGATTGGTAATTGCTCTACGCTCACTACCCTCATTTTATAAGCAACTCTAGAATTCTTGCTACAATACTTATCACCGGGCATAGCGCATGTCCATACTACTTAGACTAAGTAAATAATCACGGACACCTCTCCTAGAGCCTCTGTCCGATACTTGAACAAATGTTTTAGCTTTCCTCTGGTAGTTTTGCGTCTTCTAAAGAAAAATGCATACTGAGGAGTCACGCGCCACGTAAAATAATGCGCATGTGTTGCTTGAAACACAGTATAGGTAACTAACGTTAGCTAACACTTGTCATCGGATTTGTCGCCGCGGCTGCAGAATGGGATGGTCCATTGAGAATCCGATATACAGAGCATGCCTCTAATTTTTGCAAATTTCGGGCAATACTTTAGCATGAATAGCTATTGACGGATGTCCGCCTCCGCGAACACTGCCCATTGCTGATTTGCCACCCGCTCTTCCCAGTGTTGATGAACCAGTGCAGGTCTCTGCTTTTGTTGAATTAGTACAGCTTCCTGCTCCTGCCTTTCTAACTGGATGCTAGACGACCGGCGGAGACAAGGACTGCGAGAAAAATGGTCGTATGTCAGCACAAATATACCGCGGTGATTCTCACCGCTTAGCCTTCTGCTCATCGTCAGCCACGTTCAAGGTGAACTCATTCGCCGTGTGATGTGAGCTGCCATATAGTTGTTAGCGAGTCAACAGATCATTATAAAGGACATTTATGTACCGCTTGAGTGACTTGTCATCCATCAAAGTTAGTAAAAAAGATATACACACTCAGTGAAGGAAAATTGGGTGTGCAAGTGAGTGGCTAAAGGGTCTACATAGCCAAACACGTACACATAAGAAATAGCTGCTTCAATCGCATTTTCCGCAACGAATCTACCCCTGCGATACAAGAGGTGTGCGTTCGGCAGATCTTGCTGTAACAAGCTATAAATTTTGTAGACTCATCTGACACAAGTGTGGGCGTTCGCGTGGCATCCGTCGCATATATTGCGTTCCTGATGGGTCTACTCAATCTGCTGAACGACTTGTGCCGAAAAAAATTCAAATTGCGATGCATATGTAGCAGCTTTACAATTCAACAAAAGTAAACAACTTTCACTATTATGTGTCACGTGACCGAATATTTTGCTGTACGTTTCTACGCTTAGATTAGATCACAACGCACTTGTACCATAGCGCTACCCAACCAATTTCACCGTAAGGGACAAACGATACCACCATGTCTGACTGGGGTAAAAACCACAATTTCATCATTCGTATATATTACTACAACGCTCATCACGATCATACACAGAATCTGACAACGCGCCTGCTCCAGCTGCGCCATCGATCGCGACCAAGAAACCCGTAAAGAGCAAATGGGAAGGCGAAGACGAAGAAGAATCATCTCCAGCGGTACGCTCCTCCCTTTATCTCACCAATCGCCGTCTCATCCTCCCTAGAGCGACTGGGACGCATCCTCAGACGAAGACTCTTCAGACGACGTTAAACCAGCCTCTGCACCTGTAGCACCCATCAAAAAGAAAGGAACGGTGAAACAGAAGATTGCAGAGAAAGAAGCTGCGAAAGCTGCGCGCGGGGGTGATGATGTGGAGTATGATGAAGACTCGGTTCTTGATCCGCGCGAGAAGGCGAGGTTGGATAGAGAGCGGGAGATTCAAGCTGATTTGGACAATGCCGCGTCGCTTTTTGGGGCTGCTGGTCTTGGAGGTGGGTTCTTTCCGTTGGTGGTTTCGGGTTTGGGTTTGAGCTGACGCCCGCGGTATTTAACTTTACAGGATCATCGTCATCCGAATTAGACGCGCTGATCTCCGCTAATCCTCGTACGAAAGAGGATTTCGAGGATTTCTCGACAAGAATTATCGAGTTTATTGTTAAGCGACATCAAAACAAGCCTCTATACGCGTCGTTCGTAGAACATCACGTCCGAGAGCTCTGTCAGCCTTTGAAGGATGTGGAGATCAGGAAAGCTGCCAGTGGGCTTACGACGCTTGCGAACGAGAAACAGAAGGAGCAGCGAGACAAGGCAAGCGGGAAGAAGAAAGTCAAAGCTGCTACGAAGCCTGTTCTCGGATCAGCCAAAGTCTCGAATAAGTGAGTCTATAGTCTTGATCAGTCGCTGAACGATTGCTGATCGTGTCTTAGATTTGATACCGGGGTGTATGAGGAAGCGCTGGATGATTTCGGTACCAACCAAGATGATTTCATGTAGAATAGTACCTGCGCATCTACTACATCACGTATGAGTAGTTTTTTTTGCGTTTAGTAGGAGCGGGTATCACAGAGCTCAGTCATCCTCGTCCCCTTCATCCTCGCTCGCTTCTTCATCGTTGACGAGGCCGACTAACCCTGCGCCTTCTTTCTCCTTCAGAACTCGTCCGGCTTCGCTGAGCTTTGACGCGAATGCTCTCCGCGCGCCGGAGTTGGCGCCAACGTCCCATATTTGTAGTTTTGCTCTAGATCCAGCTGCAGCGATCGTGAGAGGGTCGTCTGGCGAAAACACCGCCGAAAAGACTTTGCCCTGAAATCGCGAGTTGGATTGTAATAGCAGAATAAAATAAAATACTGACCACTTCCATGTCCCTCGACGCAACCATGCTCACAGACGGTTTGCCTCCAGCAGTCTGGTCCACGTTCCAAACTTTGACGAGTTTGTCCGTCCCTCCAGTGCATATACAACCGCGCAGCAACGGACTTACGTCCAGGGCCGATACGGCGCCATCATGAGCTGAGAGCGTGAACCGTGCAGGCGATGGGGATTTAAGATCTGTAGGAAGCGTGCGTGCATCAAAGTTGAGTACGAGACCATTTTCTAACGAGACCTAAGAGCCCATCAATAAAAATCAAAATATTATGCAGATCGACACTGACATAGAAAGCATGGGTTTCCCAAGGATCCCATCGCAAAGCCTCAACATCAGCACCAAGCACCGCCCCGACGCCCGTATCCGGAGCCCTAGAATCAAACACGCGTACCGTCCTATCATAACCCCCAGACAACAATACCGTCGGTTCTTTCTCATTCCACTGCACAGCCTGCACCTTATCCTTATGCACCCCAAAGCTCCTTATCGCACCCTCGCCATCCACCACCGGACGAGACAAATCCCATAGCTTCACGGTACGATCCGCAGACGCGCTCGCGAGCATGTGTCGATGTGTACGGTTCCATGAGAGACCAAGGACAGCGTCGACATGGTATGCGTCTGAAGAAGGACGGTGTTTTGTCCTTTTGCGCTTTTTTTTACCTGTTCCTGCAGGGACTGGTACGTGAGCGGCTGTTTTGTCAGGTCTACCGAGGACCATGTCGGGATACATGCTCTCCATGACGTCTAATGACCATATCTCGATTTCAGGATCGAGAGTCCCGACGGCGATGTAGTTGCCGAATTTTGGTGGGGTGTCATCTGAAGATGAGGAGGATGTGGGTGGGAAATCAAGCCATTCGAGACAGAGGGGGAAGTTGGGGAGCATGAGATCGTGATGGACGTAGAGGTTGTCTTGGGATTCGTCGTAGACGTAGATCTCGAGTTGGGAGACATCGTCTTCGGTTTTGGCGGTGACAAGAAGGTTGTCTGTTGAGAGGACTTCGAGTTCTGAACGCTCGTCGTCTTCAGGATCCTGTATGGGGTGAGATGAGGGAGGAAAAGGAAAAGAGATCGTACGTCTTTGAGTGTGATGTATGGATCGTCTTGGTTATCTCTGTAGAATGTCAGTCCTTTGATGTTGCTGAATGGACCCATGCCTGCGAAAGATCAGCGCTGGATGTGCAAATCGAACCCACACACATACCATCTTCTTTTACGTCGTCCTCGTCATATTCATCCAACTTATATTGCGCAAGATCATCCCCCTTCGCAGGTACATCATCAACTTTAACATCACCATCCACCTCCATCGACACCTCCATCGACACATCCTCCTCGCTTTCCAACGCCGCATCAGCAATAACATCGAGACCACATATAAGATAACACACTCGACCCATGCATCATCCTCATCCGCATCATCCGCCTCAGCGCCCTCCGCGCCCTTTCCCATACTTTTTGCAGCATTATGCGCGCGCTCAAGCTCTATCCGGGCATCCTCGAGCTCAATGCGTGCGAGGGCGCTGACGCGCTCGAGTTCCTTCTCGTCGAGTACATACTTGGAAGGCTGCTTCGCTGAAACGCCGCGTTTTACCCTGGGGTTGAGTTAGATGGGAGCGGGAGGTGTGGTTGGGTTTAGTTACCATGATACGCAGGAGATGAGGTTGCTCATCGTTTGGGATGATGAGCACCGAATCTCATTTTTTTGTGATTATAATCACGTGACTGCTAAGATTTAAGTGATGTCATGAAGACCTCCCATTTTAGTCCAACTCCATCATTCAGACTACCATGTCATCTACTGCTACCACAAATTTGTCGGTATTGTACTCCAACCTCTTAGCACTCCGTCACGCCCTGTGGCAACAGGAACATCATTCTGTCGTGCGAGGATTGGAATGCAATGTTGCAAGATAGAGATCGGCGAGCCGATTCCTAAAGAACTTGAAAATGATGCCAAAACAGGGCGCACCCATTCTCCTTCAACGCAATTGATCTATCTGGACACCTTGGTGCCAAGTTGCTGAATGGAGCGACATCGATGGTCATCCGCTCGGTATATGAGAGCTTGTTTAACAGGTTCCCTTGGAGTGAGCGCAACCTTATCATCCATGGGTCCGCTGGTATCGGTCAGTCGACGTCCTTCCTCAATTGCCGCTGCTTGATCCGGCCAATTACCCTTAGGGAAGACATATTTCTTGTCATATGTCCTCGTCAGGCGACTTCTCGCTCGCCAGCCGGTAACCTACCAGATCGATGAACCAGACTCGCCCGTCCTGTGCTTCACCTGTAAGTCCTTGCCCGTTGCTTTCCCTTTTATTCTCTTCCCTGTTTTACTCCCTCTTTCCGTTGTACCCATGCATCCTCCGAAACATTGAAAATACCCACTGACATACCACTACAGATACATTATACATACACCCTCCCCCAACCTTTCGAGGCCGCATGATCCGCTTCTCATACGAGCTATTCGTCGGTACCTGATGTCCCTCTCCAGAACTCGATCCAGCTGCGGAGGCGATGCTAACGAAAATCGCAATGTGTGACTAGCTGACGAGGCTGACCTCAAGGATCGCGAGAAGGGATCATTATTTCGATTTCTTCTCCCCATCCGTAGGGTTAACTCGCCAAGTACTGTTACTTTTTCTAGTTCTTTGTCTGACAGGCTGATCCCGAGGATGGCATGCAGAGTATGCACCCTCATATTTTTCTTGCCCATCCGTGGGGTCAACTGTGTATTCTATCACGTTCTCTGCTGGCCACTATCCTGATTCCTCATGAACGATAATACTCCGTGTCACCTTCTCGCACGTGCCCAATGATAGCATTGACGGTCTAATGCATTTGTTCTTTTAAGCTAGTCTGACTTGGCCTATTGTAGCTTACGCTAGAGTGGGTCAACGCGCACCAACGAACTCGCCGAGATCAATGACAGGGCTGGGCCATATGCGAAAGAACCTGCTCGTGCACCCTTCGCGGTCCAGTTGTTAATGTGGGAAATCCCTTTCTACTCGTCAAGTCATGTCACGGACGCTAGTGTGTACATCGCAAGGACGTTGCCACATACATATCACCAGCGCACTTGCGAGTTCAAGGTAAGGAGATCGCCATCATGTGAAGCGAGTTGGAATACCTGGGGACTGGCGACACATATGATCGAATACAAAACTGAGTACTGAGGCTTGATTTTTTAGATCTTGAGGTATGCAAGCTTAAGTGTGAGGAATTCGGGATTATACTGTTTATACATATGTCGTGGATTGAAACAGGACAATACTAGGTAACAACTGGGTCTGTGAGAGCGTATATACAGGGTAAAGTTGAAGAAACACTTCGCGAGAGGATTGGAAGATGGTAAGTAGCACTAATGTGAAGTCAAATCATTCAACGTCGGGCAGGGGGTACGGATTTTTCATCAGCCGCTCGTACTTTGCGTTCAACTTCATCAAGCTCCTAATATACCCGAAAATGTTCCCGTGAATGGCAGCATCGTGCAGCGCCAGCGGATCCGCATCACGGCGCTCGAAAAATGTCCTATAAACTTTCTTCAGCGCCTGTTTCTCAGAATCATTCCTGCAATTCATGAACCCATAATCGAACGCAAAGGGAGATCTAACTGCAGCCTTCGCGTTCTCTTCATCAGTCCGGATGGCAAACTGCTTGAGGCTCCAGACAGACTTGTTCGTATTATGGCCCTGCAGGGCGTCCCCAAGGTTTCGAACGTTTACGGAAATTCCCTTCTCATGGAAGAGATTAAGGATACGTGCGGAGGAGAAGGCGTCACAAAATTCGTCGAATGTGCATTTGGTAATGAGGCCCTGGTAAAGTCTACCCAGACACATCTCCTCCGCTTCGTTGGCGCATGAGCAGAACCCAAAGGGTATCCAGAGGCTATGGAACGGTGCAGGGTACCATTTACTCAAGAGCAATTCATAGAACAAATGGCACATCCGTTTGTCCCGGGGCATCCTAGCTATGCTGGTTCTTATGTCCTCCGGCGAGTCGGTCTCTGCGCCTCCAGTGAAGTGCCATGCGCGCCGAATCATGATATCGCGTTCGTCATTCAACTGGCTGTCGGTAGCAGCCTGAGGAGACGTAGTAAGGAGGTGTTGGTTCTGCAGGAACCAAGGAAAGTAACCGCCTCTGGACTGAGCGGGAATCTGGGAGTATGCTGCTTTGATCTCTTCTACAAGCACACCCCTGACTCGCCAATCATTGATGGTCTTTGCAGGAATATCCATGCGTTCTATCAACCCTACAAATGAGATATGCAATAATGTATCAGGTGAATTCTAATCATGGTAGAGGGGGGCTCGACTCCTCATACCAATATACAAGCCGAAAAGTTTGCTGTTATTCTCCGCCGTGAGGGCACGGTCAAACCCATAATCCTTGCAAGTCTGTGGATCGTGCGGTAGAAGGTCATTTCTGACTGCGAGTGCTAGGTGGTCTGCGGTGTTGATGGGGCGACGGGGTTTGCAGGCAAAGATGTGCCGTACCCAATCAGACTTTTGGCAAGTGATAGAGCAGTACCAGACTTTGTGACAACCAGAGCAGCGCTTAAGCTTGCTGGAGGGCTCGATACACGCATTGCATTCACGAACCATTGAGGATGACAGGCTAGATGATGAAGGTTGTGTTTAAAGTGCTCCCGTCCCCATAAGCGCCCATCGTGCCATTAAAGTTAAAGCCAGAATAACATGCACGAACTTGGTGCTACGTACCAGTGATGTGCACTGTGACATGAAGAAGTACGGATTTGCTACATAAATAAAAATCTATTTCGCTATGCCATACTACTTGTGCGTGGGATGTGGGCTTCTACAATTACCCTGAATGTGGTGCTGTAGAAGATGATCGATGATCGCTAGTTATAAGTAGACTCGAACATGATTTCTGCCATTTAACAAACTGTATTTTGCTTGAAGAGTATCACGAGGCACCACGCCCATCTTGAACATGCTGCACTTGATCAGACTGTCATTCAAGTTGGTGGCAGATATATGTACAAGATGAGGCAGACTAAGTAGGTCGACGGGTCGATGTGTCGTGCACAGGCCGCCGGCGAGATGAGGCGCTGAGGTCCTGCAGTGGATAAGTTTTGAATGAACATGACACTAATTGGTCGATGGGTTGACGGGTCGTGTATGGGCGGTGAGACAGCAGCGTGAATAGATAGGCGGGGACGGGGCTGCTGGCCACGCACGACTGAGATGAGGGTGAGAGTTGCACTTTGCAATGATCAATCCGTCACCTGCTGCAGCTCGCTGACCACAAATTTGGAGCGTCATGCACCATCATCGTGTACCGTACCGTGACATAGATCAAAGTGTTGATTATGTCATGGTACACAATTGACTTAAGATAGACCAGGAAAGTTTGAGGGTGCGAGTTGATGATGCATCGATGAGCCACGTATCACACAGGCCTAGGTGGTGAGTTTATATAGTAATATGAGACGAGACGAGGTATCGCTCACGAACAACGCTCGGTTGAAGGGCAGGTATTTACGAAAAAGTCGAGTGATCGAGCGGTGTTTGGATCCAAGGCCATCGTCAAAATGCCACAAAACAAGACCAAATAACATTTGCAACGGTTCAAATCAAAATCGACCACCGACGCGTTTGCGACGTGCTTCTCTTGAATTCGTGTGTCCTAAAGCTGCAAAAGGCTTTACTCGAGAGAGTTGTGTGATAATCGAGTACGTTTGAATTGGCATTAAAGACTGAACTATCTTCCACTGACACCACGTGAGTAGTCGAGCTCAGTAGATATTTGTGACTGATTCGAGGCAATCATCTCCGCGAGTGAAATTACCCTCACCTCAACGTGTTTTGGAGTCAAGCATTCACTAGACGATTCACGATTGCCCGATTAACACAGTAACTGCGTACGATGAATATGCAATATTCAGTTTAGGTGTCGTCTGTGTTAGATCTTCTCCCGGCACTAATCTATTTCTCTCCAACTTATAAAACGCAGCAAGGATCCTCTCACACATACCCTAGTCGAACTCTGGTCGGCCTCTTTGTGGACTAATGAGCATCACGCAGGAACGACATGTACTCTTGCACCGAATCGCGATTGTCATAGTGATGTCCACCTTGCAGTTTTGCTTGTCAAATCACAAGTGATCCTCAAGGACGCTCACATAGCCAATACCTTGAAGCATACGAGGCCAAAGACCAGCTAGATATGTATTGGTGCGCTCGAGCTTTTATAGGTTGATTTTATACCCACGTGATTGACGCGTCGCGATCAACTTGGTTGGCAAGCACGCACAAATATCCTAGGAGTATAAATATCGCGGATCGCCTGTAGAACCGCTCGCCTTCGAATATCTTGCCAGCGAACTCTACACCTGACGATATTCGCACACTATGATCTCCGTCACTTACGTCGCCTCACGAATTGCTATAACTGGGTTCCTATCGGTGTCGTTTTTCCCAAAAACCGTCATCACTCCTACGCTTCAGGTTCTGCGCGATCCCAAGAAGGTTTCCGCCAAACGTTTCATGTCGACGTTTTGCATGTCAACCATAAGCCTCCTTCTGGCCGCCGACGAAGTCGCACGAAGGTTTCTCGCCCACGAAACACATGCACCCTTCACTGGCGCTAACGCTACTGACGACACGCCCACTGCTCTGAGTGGTCGCCCGCCCTCCGACTTAGCACTTCCAGACGACCACGAACCCTCAAAAGAACGAAAGGTCGACGATCCATGCACGACAGAATCCCCAGTTTCAGCTTCGCCATCTTTCCTTCATTCTTTTTCACCATCTTCGTCAACTGTATTCAATCCCGACTCGACGCCTTCCACCATTATCGATTTGCCGATCTCCCCCTCTAGTTATTGTAACCGCCTATCAATCTTGTCTGACAACACCCTCGTGGACGACCACGACGACATGTCCTCTGACGACACCTCGTACACGAAAGACCTTGAGTGGTCTGGTGACGAAAGGACTTTCCACGAGGTAGGGAGCCTTTATCATAGCCTATATTTGTGTCGCCTAATGCTTTTGTCCCTACAGGACAACTATATTACAGCACACCCTACGCATGTATCAGCACACCCTATCGCAACGGCTATTTCGACTACAACACAATTTACGCCTGAACCAACACGGCCTTCGCATGTACCACCACACCCTACACACGAACCACCACACCCTACGCACGATAAGCACGGACGCCACTTCGACATTCTACCCCCAACAACAACAACCATCGCCATCCTACCCCCAACAATCACAACCATCGCCATCGACCAAGATCTTTTTTGTCCGTCGAACCTTCGACCATGTGCTCTAGTCGATGAAATCCGAACGACCTCGATGAATACTAACCTTCCTCTTCCCCGATATGTCCACCCCAAGGACATATTGCTCCAGAAGCCAAAGGCCACGCCCTCCCTCCGCAAGCTCAAGTTTAGCATACAGGAAAAGGTATGAACAGGCCTGTTGCTAGACTACGCTACTCACCATAATTTGTTAGCGCACACCTAGAGTTTCTCGATTAAACGCTGCCTGCGACAGCATCGCGCGTTCTCACTCCAGGCGACACGCCAACGTGATCGGTCAGTATCTCTCGTGACGTCTATATTGTTTGTTGATTTCAGTCCAACTAGTAGGTCACCTCACGCAAGAGTACGACCGGATTCGCGCTGACCACGCTGCTCTCCTCGACGACTGGGTTACTGCAATGGCGGAGGTGGGACTTACCTCAGTGCTGACTGGACACCACCCGACGTCGCCAGGATCACCGCCGCTTCTTCCCAGTGTTGATACAATCACAGCTTCAGAGCCTGGTTCACGAATCAAGGCCCGCCTTGCGCCACTCCGCCAACGAACGCGTGCTATCGCAGCGGCTGTTCCAGCCATCACCGCAACATCCTCATTTCCCTGGCAACGCATGTTCTGACGCTACCTTCACGAATCACCATTTCACGCCCGCCCGCCAAGAACACGCCACGATACCATCAGAAGACGACATTTCATGATACTCGAATCACTGACGACGCTCTCCGACAAAGACCATGTCATGAAACTGAAGACAGGATACTCAATGCGCCACAACGCCACCAGAAGACGGCCATTCATGACCCCCAAGACACCAACAACGTTACGCACTACATGACACTCGCAACGCCACGACGCCACCAGAAGACGACCGCTCATGACACTCAAGACACCAACGAGTCACGACGCTATCTATTTCATGACGCTCACGACAGAACACTCACGACACGACATCATCAGACGACTATTTCACGACACTCACCACTGGCACTAATCAAAATACCCACTTGATTCTAGCGAGACGAAGTTGGACCCACCCTCGAGCTACAACACCCCGTCCCTGTTCGCAGGAGTCGAGGTACAGAAAACCAAGTGACCTTGTCGGGCGGAAACGGTTTGCCTATACGTACATACTTTACCCGTTTCCCTGCCTTGATCCGCCTGCTCTGCACATTGTTGTATTTATAATATACTGGTTTTGCTGTCCAAGTTAGTACGTAATTCCGAATATGGAATCTTAGTGCGCCTTCAACTTGCTTCAAAGCTTTAATTACGCGTCTGCTACGAGTAAACATCATTTGAGCTGCATAACGACCCTAATACCCGTCAACCTGTCTTTCAGAGGATAATAGGGAACTAGATTCAAATTCATGTTGACAGTAACACTCGTGAGTTGTCCGTTTTGTATTGGTAATTAACCCCTCATACGCGAGCGGGAAGCAGATCAGGCATGGACAGTCAACCGATAATGTGGTCAGTTTGTTCCGTAGTATTCGTATGTTATGACATGCTTATATGTCATAGAAACACGTCTGGGCAGGGTGGGCCGATGCCCCACTAAGTCAGCGCGGTTCGTTGACTCCTCTGCCACGTCATCTCAATTCTGATTTGCTCCCCAACGTACAGGAAAATCGGTAAGTCCTCATCAGTTCTACTGCTTCCAATTAATATCCGTTCCTCTTAGCAAGCCGAAGCTCTTGGTGCATACTTTTCCCAAACCCTATTCACCAAGATTTATGCCTCGCCACTCAAGCGCGCTTCCACCACTGCAGCGCTTGTTCTTGCCGCCCAACCTGCCCCACAGCCTCCGCATGACTTCGATATCGAGTGCATCAAAGAGCAGCACTTTGGCGTTGCGGAGGGGAAGCCGTGGTGTTTCCGGGATTACAGGACCTCCAAGTCGCTCGCGGAATACATGAGCGAGGACAAGTACCCCGCATTGCTCCCGGGCGAACGGTTCACAGAAGGCGAGTCCGACGAAGACTTGGCAGCGCGTGCGGTGCAGGCCGTGGATGAGGTGATCATGCCACACCTACGCAGTGCATCGCGAGCCGGGCGTGCAGAACATATCGCGCTGGTGAGCCATGGGCTCTACATTGGCGCGCTCATCACTGCGCTGTTGAAGAGGGACTCAAGCGGCGTTTCCCCTACACGTGAGTATATTGGGATGCAGAACACGGCGTGGGCGAGAGTAGTCATTAAAGTACAGGTTTGTTGATAGCATGATTCTTTTTTATGCTGATGCTGATGGGGTATGCAGGGTGTTGCGGATGGGACACCAATAGATTTCGTCGATGAACACACTCCCCCTCTGGTTATAATAGCGACAGACTTCGGCCGTGCGGATCATCTCGTCACGCTTGTACGTCCACCCCTCTTCGCCGTTATCTATGTAGTTAATACTACTGCCTCTCAGAAGCCCAACGTCGGTGGGACTGGCAAGATTGCCTACGACCCAAAGCAACGGGACATTCGAGCGTTCTTTAGCGGTGCGACGAAGGCCGTTGATACTGAGCACTGCGAGAGCAATGCACTGGACGGTGTCGATGGAGAAGTCAAGAACTGACGTATTCGCACCTTACACATCTACGTCACTAGAGACCCGCAAGTTCACTGCTCCGCGCAACTGGCAATACATTTCATACTCGTACTGAGCACAGAACATTCAGAGGCTACGAACAAATACCTAGACTCATGAACCGTTCGACAACGTTCGACATAGGCGAGAGAGTGCAGGACCAGAAGATGAATGTCATCAATTGATCGTAAGACATGGATTCAGGCTGGAACATTCGTCAATATAAATACTATTGTCTTGCATGAAGATTCAACGTTATGTATGATGTCCTTACATTCCTTGCTGAGAGTGGTTTGCAGATCTTCAAGAAATTTGTATTTGAACTCCGCGCATTTGCTTGGAGTTGTTCAATTTCAAGCTTCAAGAAGTGCACTTGTTTGCTGATATCGTTTTGACTGCTTTGCATGTTATCCTAGTACTACCATGGTTGCCAGCTTTTTTGCATTTCGAGCGGGTGTCACAAGATATATACTCCTTGTTTTGGCTATTGTTCTGGTTTTGTGGTCGTCGACCCTTGCGTTCGTGTCTCCGCAACTGGGGACGTTACCACCCCTCGTCCGTTTTTCTCATGTGCCTTGGAAAGATGAAGTTCACGGTGTGCTCACGTGTTCTCGCCAGAACATCACATTGGCAGCCTCTCCCCCATCGGCACAGTTGGGTATCGCGTCTGAGGTGTATCTCATCTCTCTCCCCTGGCGACAAGACCGGCGACAACAAATGGAACATCTACAAGCATTCAAAGGCATCAATTGGACAGTTGTCGATGCACTCGACCCTTCAAACATAGCTATAAGTCGTATCTTTCAGCGGGTTGCTTCGCAGCGTTTACTGCACCCCTTCCCGGGACACCGGAACGACTTAGGCTCAGTCTTCCGTTGGCCCGCTGATATCAACGCCCTTGCTGCTTCCACAGAGCACCTTGCACCTTCTGGCTCAGACCTCTGGACCTTCGTGGACACTCAAGATCGCAGACTTGCCACATCGTTCTCTCCCAGTGTTTCGCCACATCCAAACGTCACATGCGCAACTCAAGATCACTCTGTACTGCCTTTCAAACCTAGCCTCCCGGATTGGATGATCCTCACTGCGTCAAAGATCTCATGCTGGTATTCGCATATCTCAGCCGTTCGGCAATTCATTGATAGAGGAAATGCCACTTCTGAGGATGTCGCCATTTTCTTGGAAGACGATATTGATATGGAAAAGGACATCGAGATAAGAATGCGTCACGTCTGGACCTCTCTCCCGCCTGGGTGGGACATTGTTTTGCTGGGTAGGTGCCGATTCTGCGTCGTTTGTAATTGAGGTTATATTGTGTCCGTCAGGTCACTGCTGGTCAAACGAATCTTTCTACTCTGAACTTCCATCGCCTCGGGCCGTGTCTCCGTTGTACGACCTGACCACACGCATACACCCATCTTATTCTCCACGTTGCACTCATGCGTATGCCCTTTCCTTCTCCGGTGCCCGGCGTCTTCTGCAGCATCTTCGCTACCCGCCTTTCGCGTATTCCCGAGCTCTTGATCAAGCTCTCAGTTGGCTCATCGAAAGTGGACGCTTACGTGCTTTCAGTGTTGTTCCGAGCGTCGTCATACAGCGGAAGGTCCTGTCGAGTGACATATTCCCGGGATCCGGTGTAGGGAGTGCGTGGAGAGAGCATTTAGTTGATGGCGTGTTTGGAACGTAGAAGAACTGACAATTTGTCGTCCGTGGTTTTCTGTTTATCTGTCCTTTGTATCGCAAGTCGTGTTTATCGATCTGTTGCCCGTGTCATACTCCAGTCCTGTTTGCCATTGCTAAACTGGCAAACTCCACGGTGCAGAGTGCGGGAAGCCTGGATGCTGGATGGCTCGTACACTGTCAACGCCTCATGATTTTCCCAATTGCGCATTAGTTGTGTCCTCCGAATTTTCCACGTTGCTTTGTCCGAGACCGGGATTTGCTACAGCTCTCATCAGAAAACATGATAAACCAGGTTGAAACCAGGCATGTATGCTACTTACATTTTCGATCCAGCTGCAGAGAGCTGCATCTAGAGGCGGGTAGCGCAATCTGTCACAAACTGATGCCTGACGCGGTCTGACCCCAAGGATGGGGTACGAGAACACATCCCCACATATTTTTCTTCCCTATCCATGGGGTTATCTGACGGACTTCTACGTATCACTTCCTCTGCTGGCCACTGTATCCTCACGAACCGTGGTGCCGTTGTTGAAACGCATCTCGCGCGAGCCACAATGACATCACTGGCGATCTAACGTGTCAGTTCTTTTAAATCAGTCTGACTCGGCCTGGTGTAGTTCACCGTTAAACTGGGCATGGGGCAGGCCTTATCAACAACTCAAGGTCGATACCTTCAATAACTTGATATTCTGTCAGTAGCCCTGCCAAGTCACTGATATCGAGGCTTACACTGACATCTCTGTACTCCGGCTTGATCGGCACATCCATTTCAATACATCACCAGCTGATGTGCTGACGCTAAGGATGGAGTGACAAAAACATTGCCATGTATTTTTCTTTCTCTTCTGTGGGGTCAGCTGCGTCATCTCGTCCTCTGCTGACCACTCGCTGTTTCATTGCGCAGAACCTAAGGAAACTCGGATCCAGGTATGGATTTTCCGCATACACTTGAACAAAATGCATCTGATGAGTTTTTCATGCTGTACGATAACATTGAAGATTCCGCTTGACTTTTGCTACTTGCCTCGTCTCTATCCATGGGATTAACTGTGTCCGACTCTTTGTCATGCCATCTACTGGCCGCTCATCAGTACTATTTCTTCACCGCGCAGAAAATGAAAATTCCCTGTATTAATGTTACTTTGGATGTACTCTAGTCGTGACGCAGACGCTAGTGTACATGTAAGATGTAGCGCTAGCGCGATGTACATTCGAAAGGAGCAGGCGAGATCGATTGAATTGAAGCAAGTAACAAACTATATCCTGTATGTTTAGTCGAAGGCGCACGTCAGGATTCAGGAGCCAATATCAAGCCCATCTCATAGGTGCATTTCATGGTGATGAAAGGTGACCATAGATGAACGTGAAACTGAGCATGCTATTTATGGCTCGGTCTGTGGTACGCAGGCAGCGAGATGAGTAGTACAATTATTGAGTTGGGGATCATGACGTACCACTGGCGTAAGGTCAAAAGAAGAAGGCGAGATCAACTCGGATGATTGAAGTCGGTGATAAAATAACATCTGGGGAATCGACGATACAGTAACAAATTTGAACCATATCCTGTGAATTGTTCGAAGGTGTGCCATCGGCATCAAGCCCATCTCATGAATGCATTCCATAAACAGTATAGATTCATGAAGAGTATTCAGTAGATGAGCGCGAGGCCCGATCCGTGGCGCGCACTGCACAGGCGGCGGATGAGTAGCAGAATAGAGTTGGGGAATCAGAGATTCGTCTCGTGCGATGAACGGTGTTAAGAAATTGTGTCCAGTGGGATAGAAGTAAGGTGATAGACTCGACTTGGAGCCTTATAACTGTGAAGATATGGAAAGATAAAGATAACACGGGGGCAAAGCGGCTAGCCGTTGAGCGATGTCTCTCTACTAGTACGATGCTCTATGTCGCTCACCATCTCCGAGCGTAGCACACATATCAAAGTGTGGATTATGTGATGCGCACGGTGGAGATGAGCGTTTCATGGACCTGCGATATCAATATGACTTGGCGTTGAGGTTGCGAGTTGGATGTTGAGAATGCACGAGCCAGTGCACGTGTCACACGTGCAGCGAATGACACGAATCGTTATCGCATGCTCACAAAGAGCGCGGGATGATGGAAAGGAGCCAATCACAAATTAAAGTGAACCAGTAAGTGGTAGCTCGATCGATTGAGGGAATCCAAAGGCATGGCCAAACACCACAAAGCAAGACAAACAGCCCAATCTCAGAAAAACACCCACCTGGGTGTGAAAAGTCTTGACCCATAAGATCCACGATAGAGGTTGAGACTTCGTTGAGCATCGCAGCTTGATGAGATCATAATGCACACATGAGTAATGTTACATACCTGTCTATGAAAAGATGTAATCCATGCAAATTGGATAGGTGATTAGAGTGGCGAGCTTGTCGAGCGGATCGTGAAGCACATTGATATGTCATACACAATGGAGACTCCCGGTGCATGTCAGATCTTACCGTGTTCGACTCGGGCCCTGCTGGATGCTGCTCTTGCGCCGTGAAGGATAAGGGTGTCTTGAATATTTCATCATCTAGCGAAGAGACTATTGCTAGAACGCGGCGTCTCTGAGAAGGCCATGTTGAAGAACTCGAAGAGAGTTGAGCACGAGTGTGTATCGAGTAGTTGCACATATACTGCAAGATGATACATGAACCGCGAATGGTGTGGTCAATGATAAATGGTGAAAAGACTGAGCTCGGTTAAGACAATGTCAGCAGCGCATTTGTGGCACTCACCAGGGTCATGCCAACATTAATATTGGCACAGGAGAGAACGGGAGTCGATGGCACCATCATCAGTCATGGCGCACAGGAGGCAGCGAGGAGCAAGCATTCCAATCGCAGCTGCGTGTTGGCGGGAGGCAATGGGCTGGCTGGCGGGAGGCACGATCCACGTGATGAGTGCATTTGCGAGTGACTGTGCCTCTTGAGGCTGACCAGGCAGAAAGAAGAGTCGGTGGGCGAGCGGGAATGAAGTGGGCGGGCGAGTCAGCAGGCACTCAAAGCATCGGCGGGCACGGCTGTCAAGATAGTTTCAACTCCGCTCGAGTCCGCCGAAGGCCCTAGAGTTTAGCTAAATCTCTTCCATCACGAGTTACGACCAGCGTCCTTATTCCATTCGTTTGTAAAAATATGCTAACTACGCTGAAATAGGCTTTGACCTTGTGCGTGCTTGTTATGATCAGTCTTCGGTGATCAAAATGAAGTCACGCTTCATGATTTTCAATCGCATCACAGCACCCACATCAGCCTTTGGGATCATTAAAATGTCTCTTTGCGTTAACTAATCATCACCTCCACCCGGTTGATACGATGCTCCAAAGTGCCGTTGACAACACTCCTGAATATAGTATGTGTCACATTATGTTTTGCCAATTGCTAATTGATATGTGACGAATAAGATCTCCATGGCTGATGGATACCTTGCGACTGTTGCTGCCCAGGCCGAGCAGCCTAGTCACACAGGTCTATATTCTCCAGGTTGCGGTAGAGTTCGCCAGTGACCTTCTTGAGGCGCACGCTGGAAAGCCGAGAGGCAACGATGTGACGCGGAGTGCTACGCAAGAAGGCCATTTAAGGAGATGGTGAAACCGGAAAAAAGGACATCTTCACCCGGTATCGTGTACCCTTCATATGGTTAACTCACCCGGATAATCATCGGCACCTTGTAAGTTTGTTATCAAATCACCCATTCAGTGGGGTCAGAGCAGAAGACCCACATAACATTCTCGCTGTCAAGAAGAAATTTACGGTGAACTTACGGATGATCTCGGAGCAACGCGATTAGTCTGACCTGGATCAGTTGAAATACTGGCTTCGCCTCCCACTGTTCAACGCCCACTAACTGCGGGCGAATTCTTCTGTCACAATGACTACCGACTCTGTGTCTGATGCGATTCGTGAGTGGCACGATATGTTCTTTCCGTCACGTTTATGAACAAGTGTGTGGTCAACAGCACAAGATATTGTTGGTCCGTACTTATATGTCCCTACGGAGTGGATCTGTGTCCTTGTGAGTTGTGTTGTTCGGAAGTTTCACATCCATTTCAGATTTTTCTTCAGTTCGTGGTGTTGTACAGTATTTCAACTGGTATGAATTTCTACTGTTGAAGGTGTACAGTCATGACTTGACATCGTCAGTCCTCCACATGAGCCAGGCACTGAAGTATAGACTATGGTGGATGATCCCCACAGCAAGCTTTGCGGGCGTCATGGAAATACTTGGATGGAGTGCCAGGTTATGGTCGAGCCAAAACCCCGAGCTTTTGATGCCTTATGAGATACAGTGAGTATTTGTGCAGAATGGATCGCTCCCATAAACACAGGTGTTTTTCACTGCAGACTCGTCGGCACGATATTAGCACCTACCCTACTAGTCGCAGCGAACTTTATCATTCTTGGCATGATAATCACACAAGTTGGACCCCAGTTCAGTCGTCTGGCCCCAAAGATGTGTTGGTGTTACTCTTATGTATTGGTTTTTAAGTTAATGATCTCGCGCAGATACCATCCTTTTTTGCTCCTTTGTTAGTATCGTACATTCAAGTTGTGTTAATCCTTCATATCTCCCGATTCATAGGATGTTGTTTGCTTGGTCGTACAAGCTATCGGAGGCGCATCCGCTGCGCGCGCCGTTGATAGGGGGACAAGTCCTACGAAGGTGTGTACATCATCCAGTATCACGCGTGACATTCATTTCATAGAGCCAGGGCGGGAACATTATGCTAGGAGGAATTGCTGCCCAGCTTTGTGCGTGACGGTGGGCCCTCACTTTTCTCACTGACGTTCTTTTCCTTTGCTCTCTAGGTGCTATAGTGGTCTACGTTACTTTGTCGGCCGAGTTTCTCTTGCGTTTTAAATATAATGCACCCTTCCGTCACGTTGACAATTGCATATGGGAGAAAGGTTCACGTTCTATGAGCAAGAACTTACGACTTATGCTTTTTGGAGTGGGATTCTGCACCCCCTGCATCTTCATTCGGTTAGCGTTCATGCATCTTATTATCAGCAGTGTTGATATGCTTAATCTGTCTTTAGATCCGTGTACCGTACTGTGGAGCTCGCCGATGGATGGTTTGGGCCAGTGATTACGACGCAGCGTTACTTCGGTCCGTTATCACTGTCTTCGCTAGGAATACGCTGATAACGCTCTATTACCGACAGACTGGCTAGATGGTGCCCCGATCACTCTCGCTATTTACACTCTCAATTTCATGCACCCAGGCATCTGGCTCAAGAGGGATGATCCTACTGATCATGCTTCAGGGAAAGCCGACGACGAAGAAGCTAGTGAGACTTAGGTTTTGGTCTTTGATTGCCCTTTGATTTTACAACGAGATGGTTGTACTGTACGACTACGAGGAAATAGCGGTCACCGTTAGCTTAGGATGCCTGCGCTTTATTGAACCTCTCCCACTTGTGAAATACCGCTTCTGCTCATGTATCTACATGCAAGCTTCTGTGATTGTCGTCACTTCTTGGATATATCTGGTCTCCAGCTGCCCCTACCCAATAATGTGTTGACGCCAGCCTGGCCTATACACATTCAGATTCGCCCCTGCCGTTCCGGTTTCTATTCTCGCATACGTTAATATTATAATAATATCCAGAGCCTTTCACCCTCACCCTCCCTCGGATTTCGAGTGCGCACATAGCTAAAATCACGCTGATTTCCCTTCCTTTCATCATCTCATTTTGTGCTCTCAAGGAACAGGTCAAACATGGACTACGACTGTATCGCCTCATAGTGCCTCATCGTCTTCAAGATGCCGCCAATCACATCACTCTAATAATGATCACACTGCTCTAAGCCTGTATTGGACAGCATCCAAGCAAATGTCAGTCAAGTCAGTCAATCCAGAATGTTATTAAGCTCCCTACCCCACTTGCCGACGACGGGAAAGCGAGATGCAAAACATCTCGAATGGAATTCGGTCGGAGGAAGAAGAGAGATATAGCATGAGGACGGCAACTACCATTACAGATCATTAAGGCAACTTCTTCAATAGGGGCGCTCAAAGTTAAAATGCCCAATGCCCAATGCCCAACCTCGTGACCAAAATGAGTATACCTAGAATAAATAGAAGTAAATACCGAGTAAAGTCACTCAAGCCTACATGATGAGATAAGCTACTTACCTAAAACTTGTTGCACGAAGCGCCGAAACCTTCGCCAAACGTCTCCCCCTAATCCTCAGCATTTCTAAACCTTTTCATACTCTTCTTGTACCTAAACCTTGCTGTTCCTAAACCTTTTCATACTCTTCTCTTACCTAAACCTCACTGTTCCTAAACCTTTGTGTGCCTTAGGAGACCTTTCACTTTTTATTCCTAACCCTTTCCTAACCTTCAGCAGACTATTTGAGTTGTTTTTGAGGCTCAGACATAATTTTTCTTTGTGAAATTCCAATGAAATTGGAAAAAATAAACATGCAGCTACATGTTGCTACAATAAAATATATGACAAGGTTGTGGTGAGGGCTAGGAACAGCAAGGTTTAGATAAGAGAAGAGTATGAAAAGGTTTAGGAACAGTGAGGTTTAGGTACAAGAAGAGTATGAAAAGGTTTAGAAATGCTGAGGATTAGGGGGAGACATTTGGTGAAGGTTTCGGCACTTTGTGCAACAAGGTTTAGGTAAGTAGCTTATCTCATCATGTAGGCTTGGGTGACTTTACTCAGTATTTACTTCTATTTATTCTAGGTATACTCATTTTGGTCACGAGGTTGGGCATTGGGCATTGGGCATTTTAACTTTGAGTGCCCCTAATCAAGCCCTCGGTAGATGCTGGCCTCTGTTCTTCACACTTCTATTTCTGCTTTCCATCATTCCCCTCGTACAATGAGCACCTTGGTGCTCCGAGTACATGTAACAAGCCACAGTGCTTGCCCAGGACCAGTGACCACCTAAGCATGCAATGTACTATCACAGTCCCACGAATTGGAAGACTCGTACATCTAAAATGGCCAGCGGGAATGGTGCACCAATGAGGTCAACCCTCACCGGGGCATTTTCAGAGTTGGAGCTGTGGTGGGGGGGACGGATGTCCCCCTTTCCTAGATAGCAATGTCCTACATAGGGCAGTACACCCCAACAGGACAATAATTCAACCAAAAAAGCCTGTATTGGATTGATTCAAAATCCCATCATTTTACTGAGTCTGTGGGTTGTGGTGAACTCAAAAGCCTCACAAGAATTGATCTAAGTATTGTAATGTATATATTGCTGTTATCGAGGTTGCCACTGCAGACATTGTTCCTCCGCCATCTGTCATATACTGGATCCAAGCACCTCCAATACCACCTGTGAACATCCCCACCCCTGGTCCGACCCCCTGTTTCCCTGTCCGCTCCATTCCTCCTTCCCTGACAATGCACAAAGTGCATCTCAGCAGGATTAGCCCCACTACCTCTGCCTGACCCCGTTCCGCTCTTCTGATACTACCCCTATGTCCTCCGACACCATACCCCTTCCATCCGACCCTATCTGGGGTTCCGCTCCTCCACCCTATCGGTCTGCCTGATCCTACTCCCTCCGCTTTTCCGACCCGCTCAGTTCCGCTCATCTTGTCCCACCTGACTATTAGTCCGTCCAACCGCCTCACTGGTCCACTCCTAGACTAGGAACCACTCAACTGGTCCTATCCCCGTTTAGTATCATAGTTCCGCTTTTCGGATCACCGGTAATCCCTATACCCTAGCAATTCTGATCCATCGCATACATACTGTTCCCCGAGCCTTATTCTCATATGTCTCAGTCATCCTATTGCAGTCCTGTACACTCAGCACATAGCCCTCTGCTATGCTATGCTCATCACTTAGAGTATATAAACATATGTACATTTGTCTGTAGATACTCAGTCTGAATATTACCTTTTCTAAGCCCTGCTCTTCTGTTCTTTGACTTGGGCCTGATCCTAGTCAACTCCTGTTAGCCGGCCTAGGAGATTGACTCCCTAGGTCAGCCACCATCCGATCCTCCAATCCTCCGCTCCTCCGTTCCCCCGTTCCCCCATTCCCCCGTTCCCCCGTTCCTCCGCTCGTCCAACTTCCCATGTGTCGGAACTAAACCCCACACTCTTGCATCCGTCCCCTCCGTTTTGCTCTGCTTCGGACTTTGTCCAAGCAGTCCCTTCCACTCTGCTTCTACTATTGGTTCCGACCACAGTAGTCTCCCACCTCCCTCCTGTCGGGAGGAACAACCCCTGCCCGACTTTCCCACGCTCACCTAGTAGTTCGTCAGTCCTCCTTCAGAGGACCCCTGTTCCGACGTCCTGTCAGAACTCATAGAACTCGTGTCGGACTACACTCTGAAATTAGGGGTACATACTTGGGTAAGGGGCACAGCATACGAGCTGAAGCCAAGCCCCTCAGACTCCGCTTTACCCCTGAGCATGGTCTTAACACCATCAATATATTAATTCCCTTCGTTATCCCTTCAATTTCAAGTTCAACCTCACTCCATCAGTAAACTGGTGAGCCACCAATATTCCCATATTTTGTATGCTGAAATGCTCTTTCCTATACATGTCATTATAAAACAATATAAAGTAATATAAAGTAATGTAAAGCAATATCTAAGTCTGAACTGAGCATGAATTGGCGTGATTACATTGCTTTAGATTTGTTAAGGTCGTGCTCAAGGGAGAGGTTACTCAAAGGGCTTCGGCTTCAGCTCGTGCACTGCGCCCCTTACCCGAGTACGTGCCCTTTAATTTCCGGGGGACAGAGGGGAAGTCTGACAGAAGTCTGGGGAGTTCCAGAGGACTTAGTGTCAGTGGAGTTTGGCGGAACTCCGGGAGGTTTATACTGGGATGGAGTAAGGCTACTATGGAAGTCCGGAGTAGAAACTGAACAGAGGTTAGACTACCCTAAGGTAGAGCCGGAGAAGTAGTCCTAAGGTTTAACCCCTAAGACTCGGAGGTGGACAAGAGATGAGACTCAAGTCCGGAGATTGCAGGAATGAGCAGAACTAAGATGATATTCGAACTGAGGAGTTCCGGAGTATTACAGGGGTTTATATACTGTAGGTATCATGTAAGTAAATCAGTCAGCAAAGGTAAGGGCTATGTATGAAGCATGTGGAAAGTCTATTACTAAGTATAACAGATCAAAGCAGTGAAGTCGGAAATGAAGTAAGAATGGATGGATCAGTAAGCAAAGCGGAAAGGTGTACAACTGGTAACCGGAGAGCAGTGTTCTAAAAGGAGATAGGTGTAAGTCTGGAGATGAAAGTGGAGCACCGGGTGGAACAGGACAGAGAACTGGACTTTCATGGGGGAGAATCCGGAATTCCGGATCCGGAGGTATGGGATATAGTGTCGGAGAAAATAGGGGTAGTGTCGGAGGAGCAGAATAGAGTCGGGCGGAGGTAGCAGGGCTAGTCCTGCTGAAATGCACTTTGTGCATTGTCGGAGAAGGAGGGATGGAGCGGATGGGGAAACAGGGGGTCGGACTAGTGATAGGGATGTTCACAGGTGGTATTGGAGGTGCTCGGATCCGGTATATGACAAGATTGCTTTAGATTACTTTGTATTGTAATGTACAGGAAAGAAGCATTGGGCCTACAAAATACTACAAAATCTACTAATATCTAAGTCTCACCGGTTTACTGATGTCAGAGGTTCTTAATCCTGGTCATTGCCTTGCTGGTACCATCATGATGTTCACAGAAGTTGTGAGAACAAGTAGGCAACATCAGAATCATTATGTTAATCATCCCTGCTTGTGCTCCAAGATCTTTATGTTCATGTGTCTGCCCAGGATGCTCTATGAGAGTAAAGGCCTTGAGTTCAATGATGTGAGAATGCTGACCTTTACTGCCTCATAGATAACTGACTTCAGTCAGGTTCTCTTATACAACTTTTTCGAAGATTCCATCACAGATGTGTCATGCTGGCATGTGATTCTTAATGGGCATCAGGAAAAAACAAATATTGGTGTAGTCCCAGTGACAGCTACATAGTGCTATGTAGTCACTGTAGTTGTTGTTAAGCATCAGCATGGGTATGGGTAACCCGCACAGGTCACAGGTAAGGGTACTGAAGGGTAGGGGTATGGGTAGAGGCATACCATACCCACCACCCATCCATGAGAGCACAATACCCTTATCATAATTACGTAATGTAGGAACTATATAGTACATAAAAACCTTAATTTCAATTGCACCTAATCATAGTCCAAGATCTTGGTCACTACTCCCCATTGCACCTAATCACAGTCCAAGATCTTGGTCACCACTCCCCATGTTTGGTAAATGCATCCCAAAACTCGCACAGAAGGCAGCCCAGGCCATCTCCAAGACTACTTCACAGCTAAAGTGGAAGGTCAGCTTCAAGGGTGCAGCCCCATCAAAGTCAAAGAAACCACAGACCAACAAGGTCAAAACCACTATAAATAATGCAACATTGTCACCCTCAATGTCACCAACAGCCAGTACTTCTCACTTACCAAGCAAATGCACATCAATACAGACCGAAGCTGAAGAAGCAGCCTCCCATAGTGATGCTGAAATCATTGAGGTTCATAACACACAGTCATCTGAGAAGATGAAACATCTGATGTGGAGCTCAGTGCGTATTGGCTATATGTACTAAATGACCTGCAGCTAATTATTAGCAAGTAGACTGACTCATGAAGGAATGGAACTCGCCTATCTATACATTTTTTCCATCCTACTCCAGACATCGAGTATGTTGATGGACAACATTGCCATGTCTTTAAATGCTCTGCAAAAGGCTGCTGGCATCATCTTTGTTGTTTTCTTGACAAGAGTGATGTGAAGTCCACCAGCAATATGATGAAACACACCAGAAGCTGCTGAGGGGAGGTCACCCTGGAGTCTGCATGTGAAGCAAAGACGGCAAATGCTGCTCAACACAGTGTAGTCAATGATATCCTGCAAACAGGTTCAATCACAGTATCATTTCAGTGCAAAGGAATGGGTAAAGTGACTTACTCACACCATCAACACACAAAGGCTGAGACATGGCAAGTGGAACAGTATGTCTCTTTTCCTGAACAGTGCCACTCACATGCAAACAGTGCAGAAATTGTGTGATGGGTTTCTGAAAGCTTGTGACCATTTGAAACTGTTAGCAATTGAGGATTCCAAACCCTTATGAAGACTGGGAGACCAGAATATCACCTACCATCTCTTTCAACTATATCTTGTGATGCAAAGCTCATGTTTGCTAATGTTTGCAAACAGATTGCACACATGCTGCAGTCATATGAAGGTGAACTGAACTTCGCTACTGATGCATGGACTGCACCCAACCATAGAGCATTTGTTGCGGTCTCTGTGCACCTTGAGCATGAAGGACAACCATTCACAATGTTACTTGATATCATTGAGGTTGCAAAAGTGAGTAAAACAAATGTAACTGGTACAAGAATCAACAGTGCATTAATATACTATGACTAGTCACACACTGGATTGAATCTAGCTGAAGTGTTCACAAAAATTCTGTCAGACTTTGGAATATCAGACAAGGTACTTGAACTACATTCATTTGAAGACTTACAATTTATTCTTGCCTGCCCCAGGTACTCAGTATCACTGTCGACAATGTGTCCAACAATGATACAATGACTGCTGAGCTTACAGACCTTGTTGCACATTTTGGAGGAGAGTCAGCTTGAACATGGTGCTTCCTGCCTTGTCGCAAAGAGCTTGCTGAAACAGTTTGACATACCAAACAAAGATGTACCAAACAAAGATGCTAACGATGAGGAGGAGCTGGACGAGGGCACAATTGCTGCAAATGAGGAAGGTGACCCTGATGCCAATGATGCTGATAACATGCAAGGTTGGAAGAATGAGATGGAAGAATTGCCAGATGGTAAGAGAGAGGTACAAGAGAAAAACATACAGCCTGTTAAACTTGTTCCAGTCAAAGTAAGCCTGGCAAAAGTGCACCTGTCACTTGCTAACTTGTCCCCAAAGCTTCGCAAGCTGTCATACAGACTCATGCACTCCTCAACTCTTCTCTTGCCTGAGTGGAAGTGGACCATTGCAGAACAGAAGCTAGTGGTGTGAATTATGCCTCGCAATGTGTCAACACAATGGAATTCTACGTTCAACATGTTGGATTTTGCTCTCCAGGATAGAAAAGCAATTGACGCAATGACGGATCAGTGAAAGCTTGGGTTGGGTGAGTTTGAGCTGGGTGAGAAAGACTGGATGCTGGTAGAACAATTGCATGACACCCTTAAGGCAAGTTTGTGACAAGTCATGTCATGTGATATATCAACTTGACATTATTGTCCTGTCATATACCTGATCTGACCACTCTGACAATATTGGTATCTGCTCTGCCCGACCTCATGCTTTCCCCACTTTCCTACCACCTCTGCTCCGTCCGCCCTCCACTTGACTGCCTCGTCAGTTACCTTCTGCATCATTTCCACTCTACTGTAAACTCCTTCCCCATTTAGGTATATACTTTCCCTATTTGCACATAACACTTACTTCCTGGATCACTGGTACTCTCTATAACCGCTCGACTAACTGATCCAACATGTACATATTGATATCCACCCCGACTTATGTTTTTCACCTGTGTATACTTACAAATTATGCTCAGTACATAGCCTCATACCAAGGACTACTAGTCACTGCCTCCTACATAGAAGTATATAAAAACATATCCTGTACTTAGCTACTCCTCAGTCTTAATATTACTTGTCTTCCCACAGTCTCTACTAGTGGGAATTCTCCATAGGACTTTGCTCTCTCTCCGGACACAAGTTTACCTTGTTGTCACCTCCAACCCTCTGCTCCAACTTAGAGCCACGCTCTAAGTACTTGCTCTTACTTCTCTGACCCAACTAAAACCAATTTCCTTACTTCCCTCTGTCCCGACACACTTCCTCCACTTCTAGTTGGATTACCGCTAGTGGCATTTACCTCGAGACCTACAAAGCGGACCAAAGCGGTCTGCCTGTCCTATTGTCAGATATCATTGGACCCACTCCAAATTCGGGGCACATACTCGGCTAAGGGCACAGCACAAGAGCTGAAGCCAAGCCCTGACCCCTCCACTTCTCCATCTGAGCACAGTCTCTAACACCCTGGTCCAATGTGTGATCTGGTCGATCATGACATGGGCATTGGCAGTGTTCCATTTCCTCCTGCTTATAGTTTGTAATTCATCATTTTTGAGAACTTGAGATTGGATGACCTCCAATCCATTTTAACTATTAACAGGTTGAAGGGACTGGCTGATGGCAAGAATTTTGATGGCATCCTCCACAGCTGATGCATGGTGATGCATACTTTCCTCAGCAATAAAAGCATATAAATATTTGTATTGCTACCCTGTTTTGGAGAGCTTGAGTCCAGAATGATGGACTCAGTTGGGTTCTGCTAAGGCAACCCAATATTTGTCAATAGCTTGTTGTCAATTACTGATGAGGTGTAAATTATCGGATGGATAAGAAGGTAATGTGACATGTATGCAGAATATTCAGAGACCCATAAGTTCTGTCCATCATTGTAATGCTTCCACTTTACCAGGTATTCCACTACATCATCATTTGCCACACACTAACTTCCTTTCAATCAGAGGCTTCTCCCTCTATGGTTCATTGGTGAGCTGTTTCACTGGTCTCTGGTCCTCACAGTTATTATCCTCATCCCTCCAGTTCTGGTCATTATCTGCCTCTGCCTCTGCCTCTACCTCCAGCTCCTCCCCCTCATCATATTTATAGGCCTCGACCTCTCTTTTCCTTTTTTCTCCAATTGGTGGTTAGGTACTGGGTAGGGTTTAAGATGGACCATTCACTGCCTGAGAAGAGTTACAGAAACACTGTAAGTCCTCCTTCACCAAGTTGATTGAATACCCAAAAACAACTGATTGCATATGAAGATATCTTATATGATTGTACCAGAGCTGTTTAGCTTGTGCAATGGGATAAATTGGAGGACATATTTGCCTGGTTCTATTAGGGTCCTGGACAGTTGCTAAGAGATAACCCAGATCCATTCTGACCTTGACTTTGCCATTCCACACCATGCAAGCAAGCTCTAGTGCAACATAGTTCTCAAATGATGGCCTAAGTGTGAGTCTTCCATGTTGGAGATAGTTAAGGTAACTGTAATCTCTGGCTTTGGTAGTCTCCATCCTAGTTTGATTGCCAAAATATAGTGACCCAGGAGCAAAAGCCTGCTGGATGGTGCCTCTGCAGGAACTTGTTAAATAAACATCAGTAGAAACTCCTTGAATAGTGCATCTCAGTGAACCTTTTTGGATGTAGCTTATATAAACAACATTATTAACCAGACCAGAAAGGTTCCAGTTAGTAATGACCTCATTAGTGACACTTATTCTGTCATAGTTGTCAATGTCAGTGTAAATCCCTGTAGGATTGTTTAGAATTTTAGGAGCAAATCCTAAAAGAAAATTATTTCCTTTAAACACAAGGAACACCACTAGCATCCCCAAAGGCTACACATATAGGCCAAATCTGCCTAATGCAAAGGCCCCAGGATTACTACCTGCCAAGAGTTCCAAGATTAGTATAGAGGAATATAAGTTCACAAAATCTTACCAGGTGGTATGTGCAGCAATATAGTTACCAAGGTAAATGTTAATGGGTTATCCTTAGCATGAAGGTCTCCTATAGCCTTTACTAGTTCTTCACCACTCAAACACTCAGAGATGTTCATCTGGCAACCAACTGCTCCCAGCTCAAGTCTGCCAAATGAAAACACATTATTTTCCATCATAATATGTTTGAACACTTCCCACTCTTCTTTTGAAATGCTCAAGGGGACTATGAGTCAATATGAATTGTGAAGAGTGACAAGGATGTTGGAAATATGTTCCTTGGCCTCTGGGGTAGATACTTAGAGGGCTGGACACAGAATCCTACATCCATTTCCCTTTATAAGGGTAGATGCAAGACTGTAGGACCCCTTAGAAGATCCTTCTTTGACCTTCCTAAATTAGTTGTTTGGCTTCATTTTTAAAAAACAATAAATAGGAGAAACCTTGAACTCTTGATTAGTTGTTTGAATTTAGTCCTAGAAAGGAATATATAGGAGAAACCTTGGACTCTTCACTAGTACTTGCTGCTCTCCCCCATATCTGATTTTGAAGCTTCTTGACAAATGCCCAGATAGGTTTCCCCTCTGGATACTGGTAAAGGGAGTGTAGCATTTGAAAACAACCCACCATTACAGCCTTGGCATTATTGCCATTGACCAAAGCTACATAAGGTACTCCTTCTTGCATTTCAACCATCCCTGGAACAGGTTGGATGCAAGTGTGACCCTCCTTAAACTGTACAGCTGGAATATCTGGGGGAGTGACTATGCAGACTAGTTAGGACTTCTGGTTTGTAGCAGATGTGACATAGTATTAATGAAAGCAACCATAGCCTCATCTGAATCTTGCATTAGCCTTCTGTTCAAATTCAGGAGCCTGCAGATAGGCCTGCCCTCCAGGTGTGTCAAGGACCCCCCTACTACTACTAGGAGCCTAGTTCTGGAGAGAGATTGAAGGGTGGGCATTGAGTACAAGTTGGGATGAATAAGGATTTCACTTGGGGGGGGGGGGGGGGTGTCCTGACAGTAGTGGCTCTTTTGAGAAGTGCTGAATTCCCAACATGAATTAGGAAAGTTCTGTCTTCATAGCCTACTTGATGTCAATGATTTCTGATAATCCTATAACACCAGTAGATGACAAGCAAATGACATAGGATAATGGAGGACAATGGTGTGTCCACTTGTGGACTCTGAACTTTGCCCACAATGAATTGGAATAAACCCTACTTATTAATCTCTCTTCCTTACTTACTCTTGTCTCCAGATGTCACACTTCCCCACACTCCCCATCCTCTTCCCACCCCCAACCAACCAAACCATGGTGCAAATTTTGAAAGCCAAACATTTAGAATGAGAGAACCATTGAGAGCTGTGGGGTAGGCACAGGAAGTAGCAAGTTGTCAGTTCATCTGCATCATTTCACTCACTAATTGCACCCCATAGGTGAGACAGTCCTCCCCTGCTGCACCATCAAGTAATTCCCTCTCTTTCTTTGCTCACTTTCCCTAATGTAATTATGAGGTGGGTATATTACCCCACCTGTGCTGTCACCCCCACCCCCTTCTGTACTGTCATCCTTACTCCCATCCCTAACCTCCATCCTTTGCCTAGTCATCAAGAGGGAGGCAAGTGATAGTTTCTGTATCCTGCCCAAGATGAGGGACAATTCAGGATCAAGCAGGAAGTGCTAGACTTCAAGCTGGAGGATGGTAGGATGAAGTAGGAGGAGGTCATCAGCAAATCAACTTCCCAATCCACAATACTGACTATCCAAAGCAAACATCCTGTGTATCATCATACATGACTGACTTTTAGTAAAAAGCTGTGTCATGTTGTTGAAAGGCATTTGGTGTGGACTGTATGAACTTAAGGCCTGAGGGATATGTATTCACAGGTAGGGAACTGTAGCCCAAACTGTAAGCTTGGGTTGCTGTCACCCATGTGTTTCTGCAGGTGGGGGTTGAAATCATTGTGGGAAGCTAAATTGAGTACAAGTGTTACAGAAAACAGAGACTGGTACTGGCCATAACCTGGAGGCATCTGCAAGCTAGAACTCTGATATATATAAGGCACAATGGGCACAGCTATTCCAGAACCAGGAGGCTAGTGCTAGCTCCCACCTGCAGCAGCTCCTCTGAGTGGGATAGCTGGAAGCTGTCAGAAGCTGTGTCTGACATTAGGATATTAGATGCCAAAGGCTGGTGTAAGCTACCACCTGGGAGATCCTGTAAATGAGAATTATTATAGTGATAGGTAGCTGCATTAGCAGCCTGAGAGGCAGAGCCTAGCTGGAATTCGGGTTCTACTGGAAATTGAGAGTTAAAACCTGGACAACTGCTGTATATGAGGTCCTGCCAGTGAGGGTCAGAATAATCCAAACACTAGCCACTGTAGCCTGTGGTCACATCATGATTGTGCACCAGCAAGTTTTCAGATGCCATTGCAATTCAAATAGAAATATGAAGGGAGTGCGCTAGACATATAAGAGAAGATACTACAATAGTTAAGTATTATGGACATAAATCTCAAGGGTCTGTTCATGAATATTTCTCCACAGGAAGCCTATTGCCCCTTATCAATAACATGTTATGCAGCGCTCTGAAGTCATAGTGTGCATATTTTTCTGACCAGGAGACAGACATCTTCCTTGAATTATAAGAAAAGGGTCTTTAAAGGGCAGCTAATGAGTGTTGAATGTCAAGGTTGCCTTTACATGTGCCGAACATCAGAGTTGGACTTTTTACACTAATGAGACCATATATAGTAAATACAATGAACATCATTAATACTATGCAAACTATTGCTGAGGAAATATATGGGATGTGTCAGTGGCTGTTGATATATAGATTGATTGCAAGCCCAGCTTAGTGATGCAATTACTGTTGGTATATATATGATGATTCAGTCAAACAAGTGGTGACATTCTGTGTTGATACAGCTATAAATTTTCTTGCTCTGATTCTTATATGCAGTACTTCAGGTCTGACCTCCACTTCTTAGTGGTAAGCAAGGATGCAGCTTCAGTGTGTATTTTTTCCAGCCTACCCTGGAACATTTGTTTATAGGACAGGGTCTAGTATCTCATATCCAAACTCTATGAATCCCACAACTGAGGACTGGGCCACCATGCTAATATAGTAGTTTAAGCATGTATATCTGTGGATGATGTGATAATATGAATACATCAAAGGAGTGGGAAAAAGGTATACCTGTATCAACATAATATACCCCACATTGTATCTCAATCTCATGCTTACTGAGGGTATTGAGAAGATAGGTGTGGGATTGTGTTGAGATGTATCTGTAAAATAGAGGATGTTGACTGAAGGTCCATTAGGTATCTTGCTGGCCAGCTCTTGTTTATATAGATGCCATAGAATTCCTCTGGCTTGGGCAGTGGTAACTCTTACATGCTGCAACCTCAACAAATGATTTTTGCAAAGTTTGTAGTCTATATATTTGTACTTATTAGGTGTCCAACCATAAGGCTGCCAGTTGAATTTGAAGATAGTTATAGGGTGGGGAATGGAAGGGGATACAACATTGAAAAGGAGTTTGAAGAGGATACTGTGCTTGAATAAGCAGAGGATCTCTTGAATTCCTTCTTCACATCGTCATAGTCGAGCTCTCTATGAAACCTCCTTTGTTTCAAATAATAGCACATGAAGAACCTTGTTCCATACCATTGGGTGGGTATGATGAAATTGACAGCATCTTGGAACCTTTTCTTGACCTATTCCTTTATGCTGTTGGAGGGTTGTGATAACAACATCTCATGCTTGGATTTTCGGGCTTCAATAAGTGTGTTCCATTGGTGAAGACTTGAGGTTAGGGTTGAAGGGGCTTGGGCCTGAAGTCATCTGCAATGTTTTTTTGATTATGGCATGGATACAAAGCTCTTCTTCTCCTTGAGGGATAGTGAGTTTAAAGGTGGGATATTTTGAGACTCAGAACAAAAGCCTGTTTACTCTTTTACTGCACAGAAACTAGCATATATTACATATTCCTAACCTGTCCAAATGTTTCAAAATATATTTTTGTGCATTATGAAATTGTAAATCCTTCACCAGAAGAACTGCTATCATCAGCATCTGAGTTTTCCAGAATCTCTATCCTTTATTGCATAGTTTGACTGGAACATGCATGTAAATTTAGAGATTAATCAATCACCAGTTGAGTCACTTACCATGAACAGGACCTAAATTGGCTCGTTTGCACTACATGAGTGGTCAGCACAAAGCAAACATTGGTCAGCACATTCAGAATACAATGTTTAACACTGCACCGTACCAAATATAGAATCAATTTTGGCCCATAGCAGTCTGTACCTATCACCCACATAACGCTCCTGCACAAAGCTTGCTGTGGCATGATGTTCCGGTGTGGTCTGATCATCCTCAACACAAATGAGCCATGCCTCAGTAGTTGTCTGAAAAGAGCAAAGATCCACTCTTATTTCTGTACTCAGGTGTGTGATTGATGAATGAAGCCTAATGACTGAACTCTTCAATCTCACGTCTATCCTTTCTAATGCATCTTATATTCATGTTGGAATCTGCCATGATTAATGCTCTGCATTGATTCAATGGTTCTGAGTCGGATGGAAATACATATTTTTATTGTGAGTTTGTTATTGGATGATAGCAATGTAATGAAGAGCTATTGATGTCCAAACATTAGTCAAGGTGCTGGGAAGGTTCAGCAAGGTCTACAACATCTCTCACAGTCAAGTAACACCTGTCAATACCTTGTCAATGACAGCTTTGTCATAGCAAGGGATAAAATGGTCCCCTTACTATGACCAATTTTCCTAGACTTCAACAGCCTGAGTTCAGAATATCGGCTTAGGCTAGCATACATCACTACTCCCACATGCAACCCTCTGATGAGAATTTATGTGGCATTCAGGTTTCTGTTAGGTACCGTGCCAGCTCAAGAGGCAGAGGGGTCGGGGCTTGGCTTCAGCTCTTGCGCTGCGCCCTTAGCCGAGTATGTGCCCCGAATTTGGAGTGGATCCGACGTTGTCCGACAATAGGACGAGTGGACCGCTTAGGTCCGCTTTGAGGGTCAGGAAGTAAGAGCTGCTAGCGGCAGACCGACTAGGAGTGGAGCGGAGAAGGTGGGGAACGATGCGGAGGGTGGGTAGAAACCAGGGGGATATTTGATAGGAGCGGAGATGGCGGAGGATAATGTAGAGGATAGGAAAAGGGGTGATAGGAGAATATTGATAGGGGCGGGTAACAAGGGAAAGACTTAGAGCACAGCTCTAAGTCAGAGCGGAGGGTCGGAGGGTTGGAGGTGACAACAAGTTGAGACTTGTGTCCAGAGGAGGCAAGGTCCTACTGAGAATTCCCACAAGAGGTAACTGCGAGAAGACAAGTAATATTAAGACTAAGGGAAAATATCTAAGTACATGATATGTTATATACTTCTATGTATGAGGCAGTGACCAGGATAACTATGTAGTAAAGCTATGTACCAAGGATATCAATATGTACGCGTCGGATCAGTGATTGAGCGGTAATAGGAATTACCGGTGATCTGGAAGTAAAGGTCTAAGTACCGAAAGGGAAAGCATATATCTAAAAGGGGAAAGAGGTCTAGTTGAATGGAGATGTTATGGGAGGGGACCGGTCAAGCAGAGCAGATACAAATGATGATTGGGCAGAGCGGATGATGAATGGAGCGGAGGGGGTCGGAAAGTGGAGCGGATATTAGGGTGGTTGGATCAGGTATATGACAGTTTCTCTGAGTGAATCCGCCCACACCAGAAGACATGAAGGATTTTCTTTATTTTGTACTTGCTGGATGCCTCCAATGGGATGATATGGCAGCTCAAATATTCATAAATGCCAAACAAGGAGTGCTTGCCCCTCCTATGTCTCAATATCAACTGCACAGAGACATTGTTCAGATTGTCCATGTCCATTTTCCCCTTGGCATCATTTCACGATAGCCTGACAGAAGATAACCATTTAAAATGCACCCCATCTTACCCCCAGGTGGGAAGACTTCTATCAAACATTCAGTATTCTGACAGACTCATCTTTACCAGAATGTTGTAGGGGTTCCACTTTACAAAATTCCCAACATGCCTCTGGGAAAAGTTGGTCAATGCAACATCACCCACATCTTCTTCCCCAGACTGTACAACCCAAGTAAAAGTTCTGCATTCCCCTAGAGACCATGGCTCTCATCTACAATAAATGCCTTTGGCCTGCAGTCATTAGTCTCAACCCTATTCATCAGACTCAATGGCTGATTACCCATTCCTCTGCCATAACTTTATATCAAGATCAGAAAGGGCAGTTCCACTTAGGTATACTGGATTTTCCAACACATCTCCTCCAATGGCTAGGGCTTAAAGTTCTGGAGTTGTTTCAGACTCAAGACAGGTTATAGGATGCATTTTTTGAGCTAACTAGCTTTTTCTTCCCTGGCTTGGTCTTGTTGCCTGGATGCTGCCACCAATGTCTTCAAAAGAGAGTCTCTCCAGTGTCTTCGCTTAAGGCAAAATTGCACTGGAAACAGACTCAACCATCAATGAGTGGGCAGATGTGTTGAATTGGGCCTGACTGATTGGGCAGTGGCCAGAGATCTCTTAATTCTCCTATTGTGGCCACTATGCTAAGGTAGCACTTCAATATTTGCTGCATGAAATGCTTCTGTCTGGTGTTTGGCCTAGACCTTGTGATCTTGTAAAATGGCACCTCATAAGACCAGTGAGGTGAGGAGAGTGGTGCTTTGTTATAGCAGTGACTCATGAGGTTTTCACAAGGGACAGCATATCCACATTAAATGCTATCCTTTATGGAGTTACACATGATAACTTCATAGTCTCTAAGG